TCTTTTACATTGGCAACAATGTGGGAACAAAACAAACAGACAAAATAGGTAAATTTGTCAGAAATTGGGGTACAGCAGTTAACATTGTTTTTTAATCTTCATCACTATAAATACAAAAAACTATGTCAACAAAGAAAAACAAAATGGCATATAAACACTATATAGCAAGGCACAAGGAAAACGAGCTGATAAGATTTTAATGTCTGCCTTCATTTTTATTAGTTGTAATATTCTATTCAACACATTATTTTATACCAATTTTTATCAAATTTGATTTTTTGACATTCCAATCAAAGCTCAGTGATTGCTGATATAGCCTCTTAAATTGCTTGTTTGTTGCAGATTCTTGTATCTTTATGAAAAAACAGACAATGTTAAATTCAAAAAACCAAATTGCTGCTACCCAAATCAAAGTAAGAGACCAATTGGATACACAAGGATCTGAAGCTTTCGACGAGTTGGACGGTCCCTGCAGAAATCATGAAGATAACAATAGCGATTCATACCAGCGTGACAACTCCATCAAATCATTAGGATATGATGTTCAAGAAAGTAATGTGTGTCTTATTGCTGGCAGTAATGATTCATTAGATGAAGAAGACGAAGATTATTGTGTATATCAATCAGTTACATCAGAACCAAGCATGGAAGAAAAAGAAGAACTGGAAGACTTGTTTAAAACAATATGTCAGATTCGCGAGGAAGAGATTCGTTTGTTTGAAGAGCAAGGGACCACTGACGGCCCAGAACTAACTGAAGTGATTAGAAATGACAGTGTTTTCGATCAAGATGAGGTAACAGAGAAAAATGGGGGACGACATCAAATGCAGAAGGATTCAGCAAATGCGGCAGATGAAATTGATGGGTATTTTGTTGACACATATGTGAAGCAACCTTTAAAGGAAACGTAAGCATTAAGTGTTTAATACTTGTGATTTCTTTCTGCTTGATCAAACTCAATTAGACAATATTATTGTCATTCTTTGTAGTGATATATATGTAGCTTCGTTTGCCTTCCTTTTCATGCATAACAATCAGCAAAGTATGAATAAGCAGTATGACTATACTTTGCGTTATGTCCCCAGAGTTTGCTGTGTACAGTAAATTTTATACAATATTTATCTTCTAAAAGAGACCCATGTTTTATCATGGCCGGGGTTTTGAACAGGAGGCTCTATTAGGGTTGATTTATGGAATATGAAATTACTGTAATCTTCTTAAACTTGGTAAATTATTTGCATAAAAAAATCTCATATATAATGAAATTAAGCATAAACGTAAAATAAACATAAGATCAACAAATACATTATTAAATACGTGGACCCTTTATGGAGAGAATGAAACATTATTGAAAAAGATTCCATTGAAGAAATAGATAACTTTAGTTTTCGACCTTCAACATCGTACATAAGTTTATTTTGTTATCACAATTGTTTGTTTTATTTGAGTAGCTTCCTAAAGAGTAGACGTCATAGGGCGGCGGAAATTAATAACTTTTTGCGAAAAATTTCTTTTGACGAAACTGATAGTTGGTCTCCTTTAAGAGATAGAATACGTAAGTATGATAATCTAAAGTGTAAACTTCATTCTTCATTGAATAGAGTATAATAGTTTTAAAGGATCTCCATGTTGAATGTTTGATGGCAGAATAATTTAAAACATTAATTCTAAATATACATTGATTTGAATAAAAGGTATTATGGGGTATTCGGCATTTAGACAGCAACCCATCGATACAATCAATAAATGCTTGGTTATTTGCTTGTATTTCTTGAAATGGACATCTGCCGCATATTTTCGTCATATTTATTATTTTGCCTTTTTTACATAGAATGTTTGTATTTTATTCTGAGTTAAAGTTGAAAATCATAATATTTGTTTTTCTACTTGCTGTTGTTCAACTTTCATCCGCAAACAGGTAGTTTATATGAATAAAGAATAATATTGAAACAGTTGATTACATAATTTAAGTACTTCTGCCGCAAATGTAAGTGCACATTTTGGCAAAGTGTGATTCTGTCGTTCTCAGTAGTCTTATGCGCAAAATTAATATAAAGTCCTATATTCCAGCACCGTAACTCGAACATTGCGCATAATTGTGGAGCTCTATCAGTATTAAGGATAGCCTGAAATGTTTAAGGAACTCCTGAATTAAAGCAAATGTCTACAACAGACGCGAATTTCGTCTATAAAAGACTCATCAGTGACGCTCAAATCATAAAAGTTAAAAAGGACAAATACAGTACGAAGTTGAAGACCATTGGGAAAGGTTTTGCCAAATAGAGCTAAGCATTTTTGACTAATCATTTGTGGAGGTTCAGAAATAATTCAGGATATCCTGAAATCGAATTACGGAGACCCTGAAATATTTCTGGAGGTCTTCAATGATATATGGATAGCCTGAATTTGAATTATGAACGTCTTGAAACATTTATGGAGCTAAATTCGTTTCTCATACATAGCCCTTAATAACTCTAATATGATTTTAAAAAACCAAGTTTATACACACTTTAGAGTCTTATTGTTTCAGCTTTATTTGAAAACTACTTGAAAAATGACCTTGAGAAGTTATGTTTGATCGATGCTGGTTTAGCGTTCAACTCTCCGTATCCACTTCTCTTCCAACCCGGTAGGGACGTAGACCTCATCCTGTCATTTGATTTTACAGACCGAAAAAAAGATTCTAATGACCCTTTCAAGGTAATAGTGTGTACTTTATGAATTTTAACAATAATTAATAATTATATATATGTTTTCTTTTCTCAAATATGGATGAATAGATAGAAATTTAGAAATCCCTATTATTCTGCCCCTTTTTTGTAAATGGAAATAAAGAATCATTTCAAATCATTGACTTAAATGTCATTATTGGACTCTTGTTAACAATATAAATCAATTTGAATCATTTTTACAATATAAAACTGCGATATCTGTCAAATGCATTGAGATAAACTGATACAACACAAACATGTATTTCACTTGTAGACAATACTAAAAGCGGAAGCTTGGGCAAGAAAACATGATATCAAATTTCCAAAAATCAACATTGAAAAATATAAAGGCAGAAAAGTACAAGAGCTGTACATTTTTGAAGATGAAAAAGATCCAAAATGTCCTATTATTATGCATTTTGTATTGGTGAACGAAGAATTCCGAACGTTTAAAAGTCCAGGTAAGTAGTTATAAAATAAAATGTTTTTCTTCTGAATCGCTTCCTCCCTAAACCTCGACACACTAAATACCAACACAGATCTACCTGCTTTCTGAAATGCAAATTTACGCTTAAAATGTATCACTTAAGTTATGGCAGTACCGAACATTGACTACCGACATAAGAAACTGTTAACTATAGGGATTTTCAAATCATCGGCACCGGTGCACAATTGTTTATGTACCGAGTTATCAGTTTAAACTATGATGTAAATAAAAAATCTAATAAGGATTTCGAATTTACAAGTTTAGATTTGGGTTTTCTATTGCCTTAACTCTATCATGTAACCTCGATACCAAATGTTTCAAAGACACACAATCAACTTTGCTGATAAAATAAAATAAGTATCAAAGATCGAAACTAAAACCTTCAAGTGTGAAAAATCAACTGAGATGATCTATAGCATGACAAGATATTATTTTGTATAATTGGGGAGATGTGATCTGGTAGTAAGAGTATTCAAGTACCGACATAACGTCCTTCCACCATGGTTAAACATCAAAATATGACAACTGTACAATTTCAAATGGTGATGATATGGTCTGTCCAGAAATGTAGAGATAAAGCTTGCTTATTAAACGCGTAAATGACATAAACAAATCATCGTTTTGTAATGGAGCTGATATGAAGCATATTTTTTTTGCGTCTTTCGTATAATTTGATATTAGTATAAGTTTATTATCAAAGAACATAAATTCATAATTTTAGGAGTCGAACGAAGTGACAGAGAAAAAGAATTCGCTAATTTCACAATTTATGATGATCAGTCAACATTCCACTGCACCAACTTCCAGTACAGCGCGGAAAACTTTGATAGATTGTCACAACTCTCTGAATTTCTAGTTTTTAATAATATTGAGGATATAAAGGCCTGTATCTCAAAAAGCATCAACAACAAACAAGAAAGGAAACTGACTGGCCGGCAAAGGCATAAAACGGCTCCTTTGTAATATTACTAATATGGAATGGAATAATTGCAAAAATCAATTCGAGCTTATGTTTTTCTATTGACGAATAATTATTATCTTTATGACACCATTTCTACTATTTGTGTTAAAGAGTGTTCACGTCGTATACTTTTGATTACTTCTTTCGTTCTTTATATTATCCAGCATCATTAAATATTTCCTTCTTTATAGACTTCATATGAAAAATGGGTTTTAAGATTGGTTTGTGTTTTTTCTCTTAAAAAACTAGTAAATACGATTCGAATTTTGTTCCAGTTATTCCACTATGGCGATCATTAGATATTCACGCTTACCTGCATTTTGAATTGTGTTCACTCTGCGTTTCGAAGTGTACTGTTTTTCACGTCAATACGATAAATTTAGAGAAATCGGACAAAATATTTTACCATCCCTCATTTCCTTTAAATATTTCGTTGCTTGATGTTTGTATACACTTTATTGTCAGAAATATGTGTATTCATTCTTTATATTATTGTTATGACATGTATCCTAAATTGTTGCATATTTTCGACCAAATAGATATGACTTATTACATTATTTTAATCCAGCCAAAATAAAATTGTAATAGCACTTCGTTATGAATTTTTGTAAGAAAAGAGGACAAATGTGCTCAAACGAATGTACAAATGTGTGAATATTCCGAATATGTTTAAAGTGAGAAAATGGAGAACACCGACTTCCGAAGTTATGCCATTTATCTTGATTCAAAACAATATCGGGAAAATTTAAAAAAAAAAAAACAATTCAAACCGTAACATTTTTTGCGGATTTAACTGCACTAAACCACCATTAGAGCATAGCAGCTGCTATACGTCTATTAATTTTGATTACATGCAAAGTCGAAGACGTTTACCCTGTCAATGCACCCGGTCTAGTTCCGTTTAGATTCATGCGATTCCCTCAATTTTTACTTTTTGTATTATTTTGTTCTCTGAAACTGATATTATCAAGATGCTTGATTTTCTGATTGACAACATATTTGTTATGTATCGAGAACGTGTATTTCAACAAACAATCGGCATTTCCATGAAAACCAACTGTTTTCCTCTTCTTGCCGGTTTGTTTCTTTATGAGGCTGACTCATACAGGAACATCTTAGGAAGAAAGAACAAAAGTTAGCAGTATTCTTTAACTTCACTTTCAGCTATGAAGATGATGTTCTCTCATTAAATAATTCAAAATTTGTTGAACTCATCTATCCAGCAGCGCCTGCATACGAAGTATATATCTCCCAGTTGATACGATGTTCAAGGGCTTGTATTTCCTATCATGATATCCTTGATACAGGGTTGCTGATAACAAGGAAGCTATTAAACAGAGAGTTCAAAGTTGAAATCATCTCTTCGTAACTTTTACGTACGCCGTCACGAGTTGGTTGACCGTTATGAAATAACTGTTTCACAATTGACGACGGATATGTTCCAATTGTCGTAACTACAATCCTGTCCTTTTTCTCCCTAATGTGACCTACAGAAATGGACTTATCACCGGGTTTGTTCTTGCATGAGCAACACGACGGATGCAATATGTGGAGCAGGATCTGCTAACCCTTCCGCAGCACCTGCGATCACCCCCAGTTTTGGTGGGGTTCGTGTTGCTTAGTCTTTAGTTTTCAATGTTGTGTTTTGTGTACTGTTGTTTGTCTGTTTGTCTTTTCTTTTTTAGCCATAGCGTTGTCGGTTTATTTTCCCACTTATGAATTTGAATGTCCCTTTGGTATTTTTTGCCTCTCTTTTTGTATATTCTTAATGAATAGGCTTTTGGGTAGCTATTTATTGCATCTCATACAAACTTAGTAAACTTTCATGGAAAATACCGTAAGTTATACTGTGAACATAAATGGGGTGGTAGGTCAATAAAAAAATACAAATAGTTTTTTTAACAGATGTTTAATAATTTTTGTTTTGTATCTTCGGGAAATATTTTGGTAAGGGGCAGTAATTAACGTATTGTTGTTTGTTGTATTGTAATCAAAATAAGAGCAGGTTTTCTGTCGAAAGTAACATTTCTGATAAAAAAGGGGTTGTTTTAATCGTCTGACTGCATAAATAAAACCATCTACGCATATTGGTATTTTTTTCCTTTTTGCGTCACCACCACATGATTAACATTCATATGTAGCACAGCCCTTTCATTTTATCAGCATTTCAACGTTTGAATTAAGTGATGTATTTTAAAATATTTTACCCTCGAGCATCACTGAAGAGATATTAATTGTTGAAATGCGCATCTGGTTCAGTAAAATTTGCACTGTTAACTTTATATCAGTAATCAAAAACATTTTTGATTAATGACATAAGAAACTTATGACATTATAACTTAAACAAACATTGTATTAGGCCTGTCTGGAAAACAGAAATTATTTTCAAATGATGAAACTTTTGCGGAATCAGTTACTTAGAGCAGATGAACGGTAAATAAAAAATGAAAAAAAATGTGTATGCATGATTTTACTGCGAACTTTACAAAATTCATCATTGTGAACAATTCGACGTTTAATGAAAATGATATGTAACCATGACAGTATATCTAAATAAAATATCTTAAACTGTTAAGTTTGTCCTAATCCTTATGATAAACGCCTTATTATGATAAATTTTTGTACTTTCATCAGGCCAAAACTTATCAAATATATCACAATTTATGGTATAAACTATTATTTTAATTTTCACTTCTTTCCTAAATTATACTCATTGGTAGGACCTGTTATCAAAATCCTTGGTAAGATACAATTAGTTCTTCCAAGACAGTTTAAGAAGCAAAATGCTCAACCAACCCTAAAACCACACATAAATGTTCTTTTTTCCTTATACAAATCTAAAAACTATAACGGCGTAAGTTACTTAGCCAGATAAACTGGATTTTCAAGATAATTAAATTTTGATTACCCCTTTTGTGTGATGTCTTAAGAGTGTGCATGATAATAATATATTACGGAATAGAAATAATCTGTAACGTTTTCTGAAACACGTCTTTCATAATGCTTGCTACCTCTTCCGTTTTGCAGCATCATTACTGTCCCTTATATTGCTCAAATTAAATAAAGCCTCTGTTAATTGAGTTTTTACTTTCATCCTACTTGCTGGTGTATAACCATGAACACATTCATGCAATAAGTGCTGCAGGTCCCAGTCATCATTGGCATAGTTTGGCATGTCATGTAGAAGGCCTCGCATTAAACCTAGAGATTGCTCATTCACATATTCAGAGATGATGATTCTGCATGCTGCATAGTAGTTGTGATCAGAGTTTACATGTGTACACAAATCGTCTCGAGAAAATCTAAAACAATTCTTTCTGTAACAATGAACAAAAGAACTTTGATGGACCTCATACCAGTCTTTCCTTGGTTTTGCTGTAAAACAAAATAAACAAATCAATTCAAATGATATTTGTTGAGAAACACACGAGCTTTAACGCGTGCGGACGTTGATAGGGGTCGTTAGAGAAATTACTTAAATGTAGTTTATTATTCAGTTGTTACTCTGTACCTTACGCAATACATATATACCTCTTATAAATTTTCTTTTCTTCACAATGATATGCTTTTTTGAATTCCTTTTTCTGGAACATAGGTCACATTTGTATGATTAGAAAATCGTAAACTTTCTGAAATGGCATTGATGAAATTGGTTAGAAACCGCAAAGCAAAAAGGAATGATAAAATTCGCATGTGCTCAATATTCCTTATAACAGAAAAAGACATAGTTATAAGACTGTTAGACTGTTTCCTATATAAAAGTAAATAATGATAACCATCCATCATTTCAAGATTAAGATCAACAAACTTGTGTAAGTAGTGATGCACATATTGTTTCGTTAAAACAAAAATTCTCAGCTACCCATATTGTTTAACTTTGACCGACACACATTATTAAAAATGAGTTAAGAGTTCCACGGAATCATGTGATTGCAGCTATCAGTGAGAAAGTGTTATGTTTACTGACAGTAAATTACAGAAAAAATTAAACTTCTTCAGATGGTTATTCCTGCTGATTAAGAAGCTTCTGTCCAATTTATGTAACAGTCCTATAACATATCCGTATCTGTGTGTAAATGTTAATAGTAAACAACTAAGTCAACCTATCTATAAATCTATAAATCAATGATAAAGCTTCTTTCTAAGTTTCACAAAATTCCACAACGTGTTGACAGACTTATTGGTGTCAAAAAACTTAATCCACAAGCTGTCTCTAAAAAAAAATATACTTATTCGTTTATCAGTAAAACACGCAAGAATGAGAATTTTTTTTAAAGATACTGTTCTTTAATCATGAAGAAGTCTCTGTCGCATAAATCTAAATGTTGATTAAAACACTGACAACGTAGAAGAAGAAATAAAGAATCGCTCTGTCTGTTTTCGTCGAAGGCAGCAAATTGGGAAATCAATAAATCTATCATGAAGCATCTATTGACCAGATATAAGGCCTTATGCTACCGTCGCAGCTGATATGAGAGCATGAATGATAATGTGACTCAAATGAAAGATGATTTATATTAATCTATATTTGAGTATAAGGCCTACCTCTGGCAATAGCATCTCTGTCAACAACTATGATATCCTCTAAATCTACAACGGTGACTTTCCCTGCGCTATCAACGACTAAATTGTCAAGGCTTAAATCAGTCCAGTACAATACAAACTGGTTCCCTTCATTGTTCAACTTATCAGCTATCTTCATTATCTGATATGCAATATCAGCCTGAAATTATACCAAAATGTATAAATGAGCTTGTGTAACCTTCATAAGACATCTCAACCGCTTTTCACATTTAAAATAATAGCAATTTTAGAAGTGGGTACATATGTAAAACCAGCTTTAAAATTTTCCCCTTTCAAAGAAACCAAGAACACTTTGACGAACGTAGTCTGTAGATACAGTTTTTTCTGGACGTCACGAACAAATCTATTGAACTTTTAAATACTACATTGTATCTTCATTACATGAAGTAGATTACTTGAAATTTGAATATCATATTTCTTCCTCAACATTTTTTTTAATTTGAGCAGTAATTCAGAGGTCTTTTGTATATTTGCAAAAGTTTGTTAAAGATTTCGTGATGAAATGATAAAAGACTTTTTTCAGACAAAATGTTGCTATGTGAAGAGTGACACGCACTCCAAGAACACATACATCATAAATGATATCATTCAAATGCATTTATTTCTATTTACAAAATATATGTCGCGGATAGGTGATTGATATTTTAACAAACATGCAGTCTGTGGGTACTAATTCTCGTGTCACTCAATAACTATGCATCCTATATATTCAGGTGAACCTGGCTTTAACAACCAACTGAAACTAGAAGGTCTTCATTATATTTTTTTCTTGAAAAGACTCAAATGGACGACTTCAAATTAGATAACAGTAGTTCGCCGATGTTCAAATCTCATAAATCAATTAAGTAGATACAAATCAAAGCAAAAAACAAAAACTGAAGGAATCGCATGAACTCCAAAAGAAGAGAAACTGGTGCGTCGACGGATAAAGTGTATATTTTGGTTTTCTTTGAAGCCAAACAAAAATATGTGCTAAGGGTTTTCTCCTTAAGAAAAAAATTTAAAGGTGTATATATATATATATACAAGTCTAAATTGAAAACAACGTTCAAACCTATGATTGCGTTGGATAAAAACAGCATTTTTTATACGTGTGCATGCAAAACAAATTTCTTGTCTGAGGGGTCTTAATACAGCACAAACAACATTTTCCAAAAGACCAAAAAAGTGAAAAAGTATATTTTAACAAAACGCATTTGACTAACAGGTCGAACAACAAATGTTCTTAAACCCTGCTGACTGCCATTGGCGATATATATATATATATATATATATATATATATATATATATACATACATAAGGTAAGTAAAGACCTTTCAACAAAACCTGTAACAAATAAGGAGATGTGGTATGATTGCCAATTAGACAACTATCCACCAGAGACCAAACGACGAAGATGTTAGCAGCTATATGGCACCGCATACCCTGCAACACTCACTGTAAGGTAGGTTTTTATTATATTGATAATGACGTAGAAAAACCATAAACAGAAAAATTATTTATTTGTGGAAAATTGCTTTCGTCATTTTTTTATTGGGCATATGTACCTTACGTTGCTTTCTATCTTATTTTTTTCAATGTAAAATTCGCCAAAATAGTATTGTGAAATATCTTAAATTAAAGAAACGTTGACATAAAAGGCCTTTTTAAAAAAAAAAAATTTTCCAAATGTGTGTACCAAAAAAAAAATGACATTTCAATTAGTTTGGCTCCGGTTCTCACCTAAACAAGCATTAGTTGTATATAAAGAGATAAATATAAATTACATTAAGCTGTGTAACCCCATATACTAGCATCTGTTATGCAGGGGTGGAATAAGATATAATAAAACGTACATGTACAATATTTAGATAGTTACACATTAAATTCACGAGAAATTGCTAATTTTTATACGCAGGTCAAGGTAGCTAAAAATGCAAACAGACCAAAACTGGCCAATACAAATCAGCAATTGTAAATTTACTCTTTTGTGAAAAGGTTCAGAAAAGAAGTTATGTAGTGGCTCTCCTGCATGGCTGACAGCTATATACCTTCCACATGCACCATAGTATTTTGGGAATGACCATCCTTCTTCAGCTGGAAACGTCTAGAAATAAAACAATAAATTGCCGAAGCGACTGAAAAATATCATAATCTCTTCGTGGTTGGTGATGAAATGTATATACATATATATATATATATATGTATATATATATATATATATATATATATGAACAAGTCTAAATTGAAAACAACGTTCAAACCTATGATTGCGTTGGATAAAAACAGCAATATTTATACGTGTGCAAATTTCTTGGTAGACGGGTCTAACCACAGCACAAACAACATTTTCCAAAAGACCAAAAAAGTGAAAAAGTATATTTTAACAAAACGCATTTGACTAGCAGGTCGAACAACGGATGTTCTTAAACTCTGCATGGCGATTGCCAAATAAACGGATCACCAGATGTAACAAAATAGATCTTTAATTATTAATTTAATACCAAACAGAAAACAATAAACTTGCGGAAAAGATGGTTTACTGCAAACATGAGGTGCAAAAATTTGTACGCCATATCCGGATTTCGACAATTAATGTCTCTTCAGTGGTGTTAGGAATCGAAACGGTATTTGGAAGGCCATATAATTTACCTCAATTAAGGATTGTCTCTTGAATTTTGAAGAATCGAAATAGGATGAACGGATTATATAAACCCGAACGAAAAAATATAAACAAGTCTAAATTGAAAACAACAGAAAATTGTATCAATCTTGCATTTCATTGAATATGTTAAAACAGTATTGAATCTTTAATGTCATATGGTTGATATAAACACATTTAAACCAATAAATCACGCCGATAATTATTCCGACTTCTGTCAATAAACTTTTACTTATTTTGTGTTGTTGTTCTCAGTCTTAAGTTTTCTTTTTATGTTTTGTATACAATTGTTTGTCTTTTGGTCTTTTAATTTTATTTTCCATCCATGGCATTGTCAGTTTGATTTCGCCTTATTAGTGTTTGCCCTTTGGTAGTTTCATTCTCTCTTTTAATGACGGATGTTAAAAAAATTGTTTTCCTTTTCATACATGTTTTGTTGATAATGTTAAATCATTTGGCCTGGTGTATTTTCTTCTTGCATCTACAATCATTATATACTACCTGAAGCATTAATGGTTCTGCATTTATCAGAGATGTACCATATATCTGTAATTTGTCCCTGGTATTCAACATGCTTCTGGCAGGTATTAATCTCTCTTTGTAGTATGACAGTACTCTGTCTATCAAACTATATGTCGGACATGCAAACATTTGATTCATTTCCTCTAAATGCTTTGGTAGTAAACCTTTTCTTACGATTTCATCTCCAGTGTTTGTGATATGTAAAATCCTGGCAACATCACAACCTTTGGGTCTGTTAGCATCCTTACATATTTTTTCATCCACATTCTCAAATTCTTTATTATGCCCTAATTTTTTAATGATGATTTGTTCTTGGTTATCTAAATGTCTAGCTGTATGTACATTTTTTATGTTTATAATATCAAACAGTCGAACTTTTGACCATCCAGTAAAATAAATCTTTTCATTTTTCATGTTTATACACATACTATGTCCAAAACATGCAGGGCATTTGCCTATTTCTAGAAATGTGTCTGTTTTCAAATGATTGATATTTAATGACCATACTAGATTGCCATAAACATAAACAGACACAAACATCATTAAAACCATAAAACATTTGATTTTTAGTGGTAGTCTTTTCATTTTATTAACAGTTTCAGAACAACCATTTACATATTAGAAAATTTACGATATCTCCAATTATGGGGCAGCCGGACTCATACATATATCAAAACAGAATAATTATCTATAATCAGTTTGTTTCTTCCGTACTGCTGAAGTTTTGATCAAGCTTTTCTTGTTGTTTTTTTCTTGTTTTTACAATGCTAAAAAAAGGACTATTCTTTATCCATTTTTTTTTTCTGTCTCAATAAAAGAGGGACGAAAGATACCAGAGGGACAGTCAAACGCATAGATGGTCAAAATCTTTCATTATTTTTTTGATTGATTAATTGTTGTTTGTGTGACGGTCAGTGGAATATAGTTCTTGCATATTCTGGAAGAGTAGAAAAATAATGTATCAAATAAGTCATTGCTGGAATGGGATGAATGGCAAACATTTGTTAATCTGATGAAAAAATAAACCGGGTGTGTACGATCGAGCAGAAATGACACGTATAAATCCCTTCTAGCTATTTCGAAGAGCTCTCCAACAAAACATTAAAGTTAACGCCCGAATTTTATCGCGCCCCTCTGATGGATCTTACTGCCATTTCAAAGAAATAAGAACTCCAGTCTCCGGGGTACAATATCTTTACTCTTAGGTTGTAATTCATAAATGATACTTATGTAATGTGTCTTGAGACAAATACAAAGTTGGCACCACCAATCGATGATCCACTAAAACGCAGAGTTATTGAGAGGAAGCAAAATGTAATTTTTTGTCTTGTTTAATCTGTCTGTATTTCAAGTACATTCAAAATAGAATGCAAGACAAAGATAACATTTACTGAATGTTCTAACCCTACTAAATACGTTTCAATCCATAATTGCATAGTCGAGTTATCGCCCGAAAACATGATGACTACGAAAGAACTATATTATACCAAAAACTAATTTCTTCGAGTATTACGTATTTAGATATGAAAATTGTGAGTTTCAATATACAACTTTTTTCTTTAACCCTAGCTAACCTTTTAGGTCTAGTTGCACATGCACAATAATAATGCTATTGTTTTAAAAGTTTTAACTATAGAGATCTTATCAATATCTATCTCAATCTATCATTTGTTATATATAAATGCTTCCTCTAGAACCTTATATAGAAACCAAATTTTGAGCTCTTTGTTTTTTAAACAGGAATAACTGTGACTCTACCTTCCTAGTCCTTTCTGTATAAAAGCAAAATAAAAATTGGGATTTCTATATGCAGGTGTTATCTAAACCTTTGATCTGTTACCTGAAATTCGATAGCGTTTCTGTCTTATCGTATAATATCCATCTATTTTAGTCATTTTGAATCAACAATAGAAACTAAAGTTATCATCCTGGAATGTCTATTTGTAGTATAAGCGGCTTTGAATTTTGACTTTACTATCTCAATTCTAATAGGCATTTTCCCCTTTCCAACGATCTGAATAATTTTTATTCCCATTATAAAGCGAGAGAAAGTGATGTTATCATCAAGACATCATTTTTGCAGACCCATTGACAGACGAACGGAAAAAGCGACGATTGTGTTTTGCTCCAAATTTGTTTTTTGGCAGCTTCTAAAACAGCAGAAAGTTCTTATCTTCATTAAAACTAGATCATTTGATAGTCATATTTAGAATCCATATAGGCCAGATATAATAAGAAGGCGGTGTGTTCTATACGTCAATGAGACAGATAACCAACGACATATAGAGGGCAACCTACGTTCTTCCAGCCTTAGGGATAACTGTTAACTGTGATGTGTCGTACAAGTGGGTGAAAGATGTTGAAACTCAAAGAGGGATTTCGTTACCATAAACTACTTAAAACCTTTACTAAATTCTTCAATAACTACAAAGATTTGGTTTGGAAGTTTGGCTGTATCTGTCGAAAACTTATTTCAAACGGGATAGCACATCCTAATTTTTACGAAGATATTGTTTACCGAGCCCGGAAATTTAGATATGATGCGGGTAAACTTATCGATCCTTTTAATAACTTTAATCTAAACGGTTACCAATTCAACACTGTGGTTAGATCTTTGAATATTGTTTTTCTTGGTATAAATATTGATTTTGCTATCAGTAAATTAAAATCAAATTAAATATTAGTGTTATATACATATGCACATTCATGGCTCTACAATTTGTCGAAACCTGTATCTTGTCATTGCACAAGGTCATGTTTTTCTCCGACTGTTTATTACGTCTTTACACTAAATCCATTGGATGTTGGATGTGTACTGGTTGATTTTTAAGTCTTAGCTGCATAATTTTTTTATTGGCTTTGGACCAGCTGTCAGTAACTGCAAGTACTCTCAGATCTACACTTTATGTCTTTTTTGTTGTGGGTATGTATAAATACCCTACCACGTCAGGTATGTGTTTTATGTTTTTTCTGCTTTGTATCGATCTGATGAGTTAAGCCCTTTTCAACTGATTTTATAGTCTGTTCTTATGTTGTACTGATACACCACTGTCCAAGGTAAGGGAGTGGGTTTTGACGCCAACAAACTAGTTTAACCCCGCCACATTCTGTATGTGCCTGTCCAAAGTCAGGAGCCTTTGTTTGTTGATGTTGATCCTATTTGTTTTCGTTCATTGTTTTGTACATAAATTAGGCCGTTAAATTTCTCGTTTGAATTGTTTTATATTTGTCATTTCGGGGCCTTTTATAGCTGCCTATGTGGTATGTTTTTTGTTTTGCTCATTGTTGAAGGCCGTACGGTGACCTATAGCTATAAATGTTTATGTCATTTGGTCTCCGGTGGAGAGTTGTATCATTGACAATCATACCACATCTTCTTATTTTATATTGAAGTTATTCCTTTCACCATCAGCTCCATGTCTCCAGAGAATTGTAAAAACACAATTAGTCATTTTCTTTGGAATAACGTGACCATAATAAATGATTCGGGTTTAGATTTATGTTAAAGTCACATGTATATTATAAACAATACAATACAACAATCAAATTTGGAGAAGTGTAAATCAAGGAGACAATAGTGTACCGATGTTCAAATCTCGTATACCGAATAAGAAGAGACAAATCAAGGTTATGTATTAACTGAGATATGTAAACGCCATACAACTGAGCAGCGGGTATGTTACTGCTGAGATATGGGAAGTTGAAATTATTACGTTTGTCATAGATTCAATTTTTAAGTCTTCCCTCTGTGTCACATATCGAGAGAAATATCAAGATATGGTGCATAGGTTTTACTTTCGGTAGAATCCTTAATATCGAGTCAACTAGAATATATATAGGAGACTTAAGCACTCATTCAAACGAAAGTTATTGAGCAGTTGAGTAAGAGGACATCTTCAATATATCTGAAAGTGAAATTAACGAACTTTTCTAGATACAACTTCGGTTGTTGTTGTTTTTTTTGTTTTGTTTTTTTTTGTCTTTGAGAAGGTTCTGTATGAAATCTACCTAACATATCTTTGTTAGTTGTTATTTTTTTGCGGTGAATAGCCTAAACAACTAATATGATTGTATGCAATTTATATTTCATAAATTCAGCTGTAAAGGTTTATCTGCACTTTTTTTGTAGTTACAGGTGTCAAAATAAACTAACTTACGAACGTTAAGTAAAATCTTTGAGACGTCCCATATCCCTCAGGTAACAATTGTATTGTACTGTATTGTATTGATTGATAAGGACAATTGATAAGGACAATAGCCTAGGTATATGAACAACAAAAAGTGATTTAAACAGTGTAACTGCGCGTAGAGTATCAAATAACATTCAGATATTTGTTTACTTTTGAAAATGTCTTCGGTCATGTCTGTAGGGATGAAAACATTAAATTCCAGAAGTTTTTAATTTTCTGGAACTTTACATGCTTTTATTTTTATATATACTTGTATAGGTCTTGCTTGAATTAAAAACGTTTGCAGGTTTACACATTTGTCTATACGCAGAAAAATTGTGGGGTACTAGCACGACCATTAATACAAAAAGGTTATCTTTAACAACATATACCATCTATATAATATATATTCTTATAGAATGGAGAAATAAGCTGTCTGAAAAGTTGCCCTCTATATACCCTAAGATGAGACACGAAACAAAATTATACAATCATCGTTCCTAAGGCATTATTTACGTTTTGAACATTTAAACTAAATTGTACTGTGCGCCTGTATCCCTACATTAATAAAGTTTCATGCACCTTCAGGATCGTCATTCTGTAGGGTAGTCAAGAAATAATTTATGTTCCATAGGTACGTTATCTCAATTCCCGTACGACTGAAGGGAGGGTGACCAACTAATTAGATTTTAATTTCGCGAATATTACGTGCAGTATAGAATTAAACTTTTTTCACCCATTCGCTCAACAAGTGTTGAAATGTCGATACCTACATTTTGTCACGTGGTGATGGAATTTACATGAGAGATATAACTTACTACGTGTCTCGGCAGAACTCCATACACTATTGCATCTCCCGTAATTAGGTACCCGATATCTGACGAAGTAACAACTTTGACAACAAAGAATAGTGGTGGAATGAATAAAATAAGTGAGAAGGGTTCTGTCCGTAATCAAGTCTTTATGATTATTGATTTGAAATTTTAGTCTAGATCTATACAGTGCATACACATTAATTAAAACTAAATTCTAACGTAAAGATATAATTATGTGGGATTCGCTCGGAAGGCCACTCCAATCAAATTATGGTAGAGTGAGTAGCTGACACATCCAGTACCCCCACCCGTTTCGTATATTTCAAATAAAGAGCTACACCATGAGCGCATGATACGCACGTCGCTCTTTCAAAGAATTAAGTTCCATAACTCCTCAATGTCATATCCGAAAACTGGAAAATCCCCCCTTTTTTATGAATAAAATCCCACAACTCGGAAACGTAAAATCTAAAATTTATAAAAATCGAAAGGGAGCTTACGTCAATACATATAAACAATTCACCAAAATTTCATGAAAACTGCCCAAAGCATTTTTGAGTTTTTGTCCGAAAACTGGAAAATTCACCTTTTTTAACGAATAAAACCCCATAACTCGGAAACGTAAAATCTAAATTTATAAAAATCGAAAGGGATCTCACATCAATAGATATGAACACTTCACCAACATTTCATGCAAATTGCTAAACGCGTTCATGTTTGAGTTATTGTCCGACATGTTGACGACGGACGGACAGTGGTATACCATAATACGTCCCGTAAACGGGCGTATAAAAATAAAATACAAAAAATAAATATACCTATAGCTGATCAAATATCTGATGCATTTACGACTGTGGTTTCAATAGCATCTGTGATAAAACGGACATCTGATCAGTTTCAGATACTTATGATTCCATCAGTAACCTTGTCATATATTCCATTTCAATTTCTCGAACTTATATATCAAGAAGCTTGAAATAGCGACCTATTCCAGTGGCTAATCCATACCACTCATTACATAGTAATTGAATCCCCCCCTCGATGGATTCGTTGTTTGTCTGGTTTTTGTTAATGCTATGTTGATAACAACTACATTCACATATGTGCTGTCATGTTAGCGAAGCCAAATGTTTTTTGAAGATCCTTTATGCATTGTTTTGTTGTTGTTTTTTGTGATTACTATCGTCTACAAAACTCATCAGTGACGTTCGAATCGAAAAAAATTAAAAGAAAGTTGATGAAAATTGTTTTTGTTTCTAAAACAAGAAATGCAAGCTATATATGAATCAAAGCAACAAAAAAATCGAAAGAAAACTCATTTTCTTTAATTGATATTTTGCAAACTGTATTTCTAAAAAGAGAAACGAAATCATTTCGCTCTTAGGGCAAGACACATATTGCAAGATTAGAAACTGAAATTAAATCATGTACATTGCAAACTCCAATCGGAATTTATATATATTATATTGAAAACTAGAAGAAAATAAAAATTTTGCAATTTTGCAACTTTTCCATTTAAAAAGGGGCATAACTCTAGAACGGTTAAAGTTACCACCAAAATTCAAACTTGATCTGTGTTTTGTGGTAATAAGCATTGTGTATAAGTTTCATAACATTTGGTTGAGGCAAACTTAAGTTAGGAGAACGGTAACTAAAAATTTTGCAATTTGTCCATTTATAAAGGGGCATAACTCTAGAACGGTTAAAGTAACGCCACCAAAATTCAAACTTGATCTGTGCTACGGCGGGGGCATAAAAAAAAGAAGATACTAAGTGGGCCATCAAAAAAATTCTTAGGCCAAGGAAAAACAAGACAACACCACTGACAGCGAAGAACGAAGAATAATGACAAAAATGCAATATCTGAAGTCTACAAACCACTAAACTGTATGAGTTCGCAACAAGAAACACACATCACACTAGGTCCGAGTACACAGTTATTTCGTAGTGCATTTCTTTTAGACAATAAATGAAAATTAAAAAAATCCCACCTGCGCTTTCTCAATAATATTTTTACAGTGTGTTGTACTACTTTTGGGACAAGTTATATCAAAATTATAGAAAACTTCATCGGCTCTAACTCAAAATATGGACAATTTTATGTTAAGGGGGTCTTCAAATCTTTTGACAGCTTCCGAAGTGCTAATTTTTAACATTTTTCAGCTGGACCAAATCACTACTTTACTTTAAAATTCATGACCCAAATTTTTTTACAGTGTCATTTCACCCCCCTACTTGCTATTTGAGTCATAAAACATGGAGAAATAAATTTGGAAGGGGTATAAAAAAAATTAGCAAGTAACACACTGTCCACACTAGGGACTATATTCGTGGAATCAAATGACGATAACTGTGTACTCGGACCACTAGGGTGAAATGAGGTATGTCAATCGAGGAAAAAAAGACAAAATTGTGGTTACAACAATTCATATTTGATTCAATACAGACAAACAGATTCATGAGTAACTGTTTTCTCCATTAGTTCTTAATTAGTTCTTAATAAAAGATTGACAGGTTATTAAAGTAGTTCATATTTCTCCCTCAATTCCAGGGTAAAAGTATAAATAAACCGTTGACAGAGATAGCTAGGTATCATCTGTACATTTTTTTTTTTTGTATAATGCAAATGTTGAAAATAAAACGGAAGTATTTAAACATGTACACTATGTAAAACACTGATATGCAGAGAGAAATAACCTCAATGGAAACGAACATTGCCAATGCTTATAAAAAAACATATGGAATACCATTGACTTATCATAAGTGGCATCCTTTAAAATTACTTAAACACGAATTTGAACAGGTAAACTATGCAAAAATGAATGAGAATAAAAGGCAATGAATAATGATGATGGGGCGGGACCATATAACCTACATGGGAATGAGACTTGCAATACAAGCAAATACAACTACATACCAAATACCATTGACTTAACATAAGTGGTCTAAAACTGTCCAGTCTATGTTTTTGTTTGATGTTTTTCTGCTTTGTATCGATCTGATGAGTTGAGCCTTTTTCAAATGATTTTATAGTTTGTTCTTATGTTGTGCTGTTACACTATTACTACTAGTGGTTCCCAATAAATTAACCTATTCATAAACTTATACACTGTTGATGCCACTGTCGCCAGAAACAGCATGCCTAAAGTCCGATTTATACTCTAAAATTCAGCCACTGCTGGGATGTTACTACATAGAAATGGACAGTTCACAATAAGAAAGCTGAAATCATCCCCTTTGATGTAAGGTAAGATATGAACCAAACTTACCTGTATAAACAATGTCACCAAACTTTGAATTATTTAGAGCGAGGACATCATCTATATAGTGGCATTAACATATAATGATAGTTTTTATCATTCTTCCTTAGAAGCTAATACAATATGTCTGCCTTGTATGAATAAAGGGACAAGTTGACAAGAAGAGAAGCACAGTTGGTTCCCATATGAATACTGATTATTTGTTGAACAAATATGTTGTCTATGAAATAATCAAGCATTTTGATGAAGTCAGTCTCAGAATTATTTTATTTCATAAATCAGCCATTGTTTACAAAGTATGATTTATCCCTTCCTAAAACAAGATATTTGTATATACGTTGTATCTAATAATATAGTTTTCTTTACAAGTATGTTTATACACATACACATCAGTTTTTAACTTGAACATCTGAGTTTATATCATCAATCAATTGATTGACATATGAGCATGGATATAACTAATAATGTTCACCTCAATGCTATTGTTTGTACTTTTAAAGGTAGGTATAAAGCTTGCAATATACAGCTAATAAACCAGTGACATAATTGTTTTGGTTGCATTTCATGCAATTTTTATCCCAAAATTGATGTCAAAGACAGTATTATATGCAGAATAGAAACTTAAGACCATACACAGTTTTTCCACTAACAAATGGATGGTTAAATTTATTTGCTTTTAGAAACATGAAATCTAATATAATAAGTAAACCCATCGCCACCACATCATTGAAATAAATATATATGTCACATCAGTCATCTGTTATATCATCAAATTGATGAAATATGACAACTTTGGTGTAGTCAATGCATAAATTGATAACTTTAACAAAGAGAGATTAAATCAGGGTATTACGACTTGAACAGGCATAATGTTATGTCTGGTTGAAGTAGAGCCAAGATGTTCACAAAGTATTCTGCAAATGCTGATACATAATTTGACATATCTTAATGGGAGAATCAGCAGCTTAGAGCAATTCCAAAGATGTTTAATATAAACAACATTTAAGTTTTTAAATCATCATAGTCAACACTTTATCATTTAATGAAACTATATACAACCATGACAGTACACTTCTAAAAATTTCTTTTTTCATTATCTTTTGGTTAGCTCTTTATTTTGATCAATCTCATGAAGCCAAAATACACCAATTTATGTCAATTGATAACATGAACCATGTCATTAATTCTTGTGGCTTTGATCAATTAAAAAATAACATTCTTAAAATCTTTATTATTGTAGGTATAACATATTTCCTTAAACGTATATTATTAATCTAAAAAAACATACTGTTCTCAATAGACTGAAAATAAACTAACATGTATACACTTTCGCCATTGTTATGCATTACAAAATTTTATAGCTCATTTCTTAATTGTTATAATTAATTTAAACAAGAAATTTAATAATAGTAAAAAGGTATTAACAAAATACTGAACTCCAAGGTAATTTTTAAGAGGAAGTTTATAAAACCTGACAAAAAATAGAATCTACTTCTATTAAAACTTAATATATTTAGTTGTTACAAGTCAATAATTAAGCTACAATATATTCAAAAATATTATCCCAAAATCACACATATTTGTTTTCATAAAAATAAAATCTGTACACAAACTTAAAAAAAAACTTCAGTAATTTTGCCAGGTAAACTTTGAAACACCTCTTGATTATCTCTTTGTGTGAGGCTCTTAAGTGTGTATAATAGTTACAGTTACTGGGAATATAAAGAGATTATTTTAAACACTTCTTAATTTATTCATGCAGCCTCTTCCCTTTTGCAGCATCATTTTTGTCCTTAACATTGCGTAAATTAAACAAAGCCTCAGTTAATTGAGTTTTGATTTTTATCCTACTCTCTGGTGTAGAACCATGAACACATTCATGCAATAAGTGTGGTAGGTCCCAGTCATCTTTTGCATAGTTTGGCATGTCATGTAGAAGACCTCCCATTAAACCAAGAGATGGTTCATTTGCATATTCAGAAAGGATATTTCGGCATGCTGCAAAGTAGTTGTGATCAGAGTTTACATGTGTACACAAATCGTCAGGAGAAAATGTTAAACAGTTCTTTCCATTACAGTCATCAAATGAACTTTGGTGCAGTTCATTCCAGTCTTTTCTTGGTTTTGCTGTAAAAAGAAATGAAGGTTATTAATTAAGATGATACTTACTCTATTAGCTATTTATTGTCATCCGATGTTAAAAATAAGTTTTTTTGTTTTGTGTCATACAGTTATACTAGTTTAAGACCTAATTTGTGTGACAGCTGACCATCTAAATTCCTAGATACATGCTTGTTTGACATTCTACTATAAAACAATGTTTTATATAATTTTCTTCCAACAAAATTTTAAAAAACAAGGATTTGACAAACAAGTCTTTTTATTGAGCACTTATATGAACAATTTTGTATTAAATTGTTTCCAACATTGTGATATATATTCAATTCAGGGCACTGAAGTTTAATGAATTTTTTTTTGTTCTGCAAGTATTCAGTATCTGTAAGAGGGGTTGATTCTGAGTTAAATTAATTATCAAAATAAAATCATCCCAATAATATATATACACATTTCAAATTCATATAAACATGTTGCAAATAAAAAAAAAATTTAAATTGAAATTAGTAGGAGTTGAGCTTATAAAGGGTGTAATGTGTAAGAAATCAAAGTAATTGAGTGCTGGAAAAGCAGATTATGTCTATTAAATTTATCTGTGACTTTTAGAATTCCATCCTTATGTGATGAAATAACTTCTGGTAAAAGACTATATTGATCAAATTCAAATAATAAACTCCATAATGAAAAACCTTTACCAAATGGATATTAACAATTTAAATTTTTTAATTTAACCTTTTATCTAATGATGCAAATTTTTTTTTTTTTTTAAATTCGAACGTTAACTTATTTACCCCTTTTTAAACATGTACAGGATTAGATTCTTAATCACATGTCATGAAATAATGCAATAGCAAGTTATATCGTTAAGGCGATTGTTAGTATTATTAAACATCTTTTTAAAGTTCCTTGAAAAAAACGCAAAAATAGATAGAAATGGTCTTTTAAAAGCACATTACTCCTGTCAGGAGTCCGTTGTCAATTTCAACCCTACCACTAAGTAGTAGATCTTGTGTTACTGACCATTTTTGCTGTTAAAAGCTTCTTCTTTATCTATTATGATAATGTTTTTAAGGTAGCAGTTAGAATCAACAATAACGTAATGGCAATAACTCTTAAAAGAAGTCAATTGAAAATATCAATTATGTTAACTTGTTTACAGATCTTCATTTTTTCCTGTTAACAGTTTTTCTCAAGTTATAATAATTTTAAAGAAAATAGAAAACAAAAGCCATATGGATAAATATAGGTTTTTTTAGGGGCAATAACTCCTACAGGAAGTGGGAATGATCTTATGTTTTAGAATGGCCAACAGTTCCTGCTCCATAAGTGATACCTATCCTGTTACTAATGCTGACAAGCCATTTAAGCTGATAAGTTTAAACTTAATATTCCAAAGGGGGATTTTCTACAGAAAAGTTTGGACTGAGAGTGTCAATATGCAAATGAATCAATGGGCCTAAGGATTGTTTGTCTAAGAATGTTATAAATAATGATAATTGTCTGGTTATTATTACACATTTCAGTTAAAAAAAAACCAGCTTAACCTGGAAGGTCAATACTACATGAAGTACTGACAAATAATTGGGTCATTAAAAAGATATGGAAACATCCCTTAACAAAAATCACCCTTGGTTATAATCTCAGGTCAGATATGAAATTCTCGTTTGATACTGTAATAGGTAAGGAAAATGGAGAGTATTAATCAATGTAAACCTTATACATACTTCTGGCAATAGCCTCTCTGTCAACAACTATAATATCTTCCAAATCTATAACTGTTACTTTTCCTGAACTATCAACAACTAAATTTTCAAGGCTTAAATCTGTCCAGTACAACACAAATTGGTTCCCTTCATTATTTAGTTTATCAGCTATCTTCATTATCTGATATGCAATATCAGCCTGAAATATATGGCAAACTATAGCTTAAAACAAGGAAATGTTGCCTTCATTAGCATCTCAAGAGCTTTTTTTCTTGAAAGAAGATGTATAGTAAAATTTCTAAATGTGTTAACAATGAAAAACAATATTTCCATCAAATTACACCTGATTCTACTTCATACACCAAGTCTGACTAAAGAATTTTATTTTAGTGGTTGGACATGGTAACAAGTGTATGTTCATTTCAATAAAAAATTATAACAAGAATGTATACTTTTTTTTTTTGGTTGTATTTCAAAATACTGATTGACCAATATAATGTCACCTCAAAAAGTAATCAATTTCTATAAATGATAACAGTTGTTTTATTCAACAAAGCCTGTTTTTTCCATCTATAATCTGACTTAAATATGACTTGTAGAATCATTTCAATTGATATTTTTTGCAAAATCCAAGGAACTTATTCACACAGGTTGAATTAGAACTATGTATCTTTCACATTGCTTCATTTTAAAATACAATGTGGATTTTGATGATGGCAAGTTATTTGAATTTGACATATTCCTCTCATTTTCAATTGACACTAACATCTCAGTTATTTATTGGTGTTGAGGCTCCTGTGTTCCAGATCACCTTCCTTTATTTTCTGAATATAAAACTTAAACTGACATCTAAGAAATATTGACTTCAAAGGATTTTTTCATCAATCAAATTTTATTAAAGTTGAAGTTTGTTCCAAAACTAAATTTCAAATTCAAAACTAAATTTCAAATTCAAGCATGCACTTATAAAGTCAAGTACTCACATGGAAGAAAATAATTTTTATCGTTTAATTACTAACTGGTGTGCAAACATTGAATATGAGGATATAAGATGAGGTTAGGTACCAGTTGACGATATTCAAAGTAGATATACATTGATACATCTTGATATCTATATCATTAAGCTTAATACAAAAATTTATGATAAAAGAGATGATTTTTCATTTCCTATCGTTAATTATCCATTTTTAGATGGTGACGTTCCCTTGTCACCATCTTATGGTGTTTATATATCTCAACTTGTACGATTCGCTCGTGTATGTAACAACGTATTAGATTTTAGCGAGAGAAATTTATGTATTACTGAAAAATTATTACACCAGGGTTTTCGATATCATAAACTAGTCAAAACATTTACTAAATTTTATCATCGGTATAAGGGCATCATTCGTAAATATAACTCAACATGCAGACATCTTATACGTTCGGGTATTTCACATCCAATCTTTTATGGTAATATTCTTTAAAAAGCACAAAAATGTCAGTATTCACCTCAAAAGCTAACAAAACCTTTAAACAGACTTATTAAGAAGGGATATAGTTACGATACTGTTGTCAGGTCATTAAAGATTGCATATTTTGGCTTTAATATTGATTCACTTATAGGGTCTTTGCATCGGAATTAAACATATTTATTCTAAAACCAGTTGTTGGCATGACACAGGTTATGTTCTTCTCATATATTTTATGATGGTATAATATTAAACCCCTAACAGGAGGGATTGTGCCTGATATTCATATGATGAAGACATAATCTTTCAATCAGTTTAATTGAGGTCTGGAGCTGGCATGTCAGTAACTGCTAGTAGTCTGTTGTTATTAATGTATTATTGTCATTTTGTTTATTTTCTTTTGTTTCCTATTCTGATATCGGACTCGGACTTCTCTTAAACTGAGTTTTACTGTGCGTACTGTTGTGCGTTTGTTTTTTCTACATTGGCTAGAGGTATAGGGGAGGGTTGAGATCTCAAAAAACATGTTTAACCCCGCCACATTTTTGCGCCTGTCCCAAGTCAGGAGCCTCTGGCCTTTGTTAGTCTTGTATCATTTTTAATTTTAGTTTCTTGTGTATAATTTGGAGTTTAGTATGACGTCCATTATCACTGAACTAGTATACATATTTGTTAAGGGGCCAGCTGAAGGATGCCTCTGGGTGCGGGAGTTTCTCGCTGCAATGAAGACCCATTGGTGGCCTTCAGCTGTTGTCTGCTCTATGGTCGGGTTGTTGTCTCTTTGACACATTCCCCATTTCCATTCTCAAGTTTATTATATTTCAGAGAAACTTTCCAACTAAATTCCCATAGTCACAGGATGGTTAAAAATGCAAACATGCCATCCTGGAACACTGCACTTATGTAATGGTTAATTTACCCTTTTTTGAAATGTTTCAGAAAAGAAGTTATGTAGTGGTTCTCCTTCGTGGCTGACAGCTATATACCTTCCACATGCACCATAGTACTTTGGAAATGGCCATCCTTCTTCAGCTGGGAATGTCTAGAAATAAAACAATGTTAAATATGCTAAGATAACTACAACAAAGGGCTAGTTAATTCATTTAATAAAAACCTATCATATGCAATTTAATTTAATAACTTTAATGACAAATCGTCATCTGCACTTTAGAAATAAGCAATTTCTTTGCCTCACAACTTTTAAAATAAAATAAATGTCTCTTGTGTAAATTATTTTGCCATAATACAAGGAATGAAACACCAATCACAATTTTTTTATTTCTTTTAATTTTAGAAGATATGATATATATAATAGAAAAACAAAGGATATGGGGTATCCATCCTTGACACGAAATCAGTACATTACAACTGAAATACAAAAAAAGAAACAGAACAGCGCTTTTATTGCAGTTCATCCACTCAAAGTCACAGTGAGGCCTTCAACACGGAGCAAAAAAACTCTCACCTCACTGCAAGTTAGTGACGGCCCCTAGCACCGGTTTGAGCGGAATTATTTGCAAAATAATTTGGATAGACTTTGTAAGATGTTACACCACCAAATTTGGCCCGGTCAATAAGAACATACTGGAAAGTAGTACATATTCAAAACAAAATAGTGCCTATGCAAAGGTGTAAATATCTAGGTAGAATATATTTTGGTAATTTAGGTATCAAATGAAAGGTGAAGGACTGGTGATCCTTGTAGAATATTCAGCAAAATACTTACTCTTGAAAATCAATCAAAGTAAAATCTACTTATCATATTTATTTGAGAAATAATGTGCATTTTCGACTTTTATTATAAGAGAGTTCTTTCAATTAAATTTCAATTAGAAAATATAGTTTAAAAACTTAAAATCAGTACTTTATGTTACTCAAACAGTATACATGGTATACATGGTACATGTATGTTTAGTAAACATATATTCTATCTGCAATTTATATGAAAATATCAAAAACTTATTATAAATCATATTGATACAAAAGATAACTTTGTGTCCATATCATGTTCCTCTAATTCCTTTAAAGTTTTGATTTCTTTAAATACAGAGGAATGGCAGGATTAAATAAAAAGACAATTATTTATCAAAGAATGAAGAATGTAAATAAAACATTGCATGCTTTGTTGGTAAAAACCTCTAGTGTTGGGAATCGGCTGGAAAATTATAATTGACCCATATTAAATAAAGAGCTGCGCCATGAGCGCATGATACGCCTGTCGCTTTTTCAAAGCATAAAGTACCATAACTCCTCAATGTAATATCAGAAATTTATAAAAAACTAAAGGGAGGTTATTTTAATAGATATAAACCAGTCACCAAAGTTTAATAAAAACTGCTCGAAGAACTAATGAATAAAACCCCATTACTTGGAAATGTAAAATTTAAAATTCATAAAAATCAATAGATATAAACAATTCACCAAAGTTTTATGAAAACTGCTCAAAGCATTTTTGAGTTATAATCTGAAAACTGAAAAATCGCCTTTTTTATTGAATAAAACCCCATAACTCGGAAACGTAAAATCTAAAATCCAAAAAAATTGAAAGGGAGCTCACATCAATAGATATAAACAGTTCACCAAAGTTTCATGAAAACTGCTCAAAGCATTTTTGAGTTATTGTCCAACATGTTGACTACAGACGGACAGACGGACGGACAACGGTATACCATAATACGTCCCGTAAACAGGCGTATAAAAATTGAACAGCATGCTCCTCTTCAATTTTTTATTTAAATTTGTTTTTAATTCATGTGCAAATGATGAAGAATTGAGTTATAAATATATATATATATATATATATACACATTTTTCCTGTTATAATACTTATGCATGCCATATACATAGATTGTTTTGAAGTAGAGTGTCCCAAACAGACAGATTTATAAATGCAAAGTACTGCAAACCTGTAAACCCTTTACCTAAAAAGGGAGTATATGTACAATTACAGGGAAGTTTCAAAAGATTTTCCTAAAACAATTACAATTAAGATATGTTTTACCGGTAATTGATTATTGAAAATTACAATCAATTATAGTAAATAAACTATAATCTGTTGAATTTGGATTATAATACATATAATAATAGATACCGGTAATTAGAACATGTAATTTTCCCTTTATGTCATTGTGTCCAAGATTATGTTATATTACCTGAAGCATTAATGGTTCTGCATTTATAAGACCTGTGGCATATATCTGTAATTTATCCCTGGTATATAACATGTTACTGGAAGGTGTTAATTTCTCTTTGTAGTATTTCAGTACTCTTTCTATCAAACTGTACGTTGGACAGGAGAACATGTGATTTATTTTCTCTAAATGTTTTGGTAGTAAAGCTTGTCTTCTGATGTCATCTCCAATGTTTGTGATATGTAAAATCCTGGCAACATCACAACCTTTGGGTCTGTTAGCATCCTTACATATTTTTTCATCCACATTCTCAAATTCTTTATTATGCCCTAATTTTTTAATAATGATTTGTTCTTGGTTATCTAAATGTCTAGCTGTATGTACATTTTTTATGTTAACAATATCTAATAATCTTATTTTTGACCATCCAGTAAAACGAATCCGATCATTTTTCAAGGCTACACAAATACTATGTCCAAAACATGCAGGGCATTTGTCCGTTTCCAGAAATGTGTCTGTATTCAAATGATTTGTGGTTAATGACAAGATTAGATTTCCATAAACATAAACAGACGCAAACATCATAAAAACCATAAAACATTTGATTTTGAATGGAAGTCTTTTAATCTTATTAGCAGTGTCAGAAACAACCATCTTTACATTAGAAAATGACGATTTACTGTTCCCAAACTTACGATTTCTCAAATTATGGGGCAACATGACTCATGTAAAGATATCAAATCTAATTCATTAATTAAAAATCAAATGCTTTTAATTCGTGCATACTGTTTTGATAATTTGGTTAAGCTTCCTCCTGGAATATACTATGTATACTTAATGGTATAATTATTCTTTTTCCATTGTCTTTTTGGTCACCTAAAATGTAAAGAATAGTAATAAATATATAACATATGTAAAAAAAACAACACCAGACACATTATTTCATGTATTTATACATGTTGAAAGTTAATAATAAAATTTGATAGAGGCTACTAGCCTTAACTTTAAAATGTTAAATTTAGTCAATCATATTGAAACTGATAGATTGATTGAATGTTGTATGGTTAATGTCCAGTGGCAAATATCATTAACAATATATACAATTAGTAGGTTCTGATATGTGGATTGATTGGGATAAAGGGTGTTAGTTTCAACTGCATCTGGAAAAAGAATACACACATGTGTGTAAGATGAAGGCAGAAATTTTGCATTGCAACAGGCCAACTATAGATTGGACAATAGAAAGTTGTTGCAAGAGATTTTTAACCTTTATTAAAACTAGCATACCGGTACATCATTGTCAGCTCCCTATCTCCTAACCTAAGCAAGCTATAAACATTTAACACACTATCCCTCCATATCTCCTCTAAATACTAAACTTCAGCAGAAATTGTAGACTGATATAAATGCAAAATCATCCCATTGATACTAAATATACATCATATAGGTAAAGATATCGATTTCAAAGACGTTATCTCAAATTTTTTTTATTAAATTTCCATAATTATAATACATCTTCATATACACGTATTATAGCACTGTTCATGCTGTTCTCCCCTAGACTGTTATAGCACCAGTTTCAAGTTTTCATATTTGAGCTCTGCTCTATTTAACAGAATACTGCGCTATTGTACCAGGCAACCACTGCATTTATTTAAATTTCAATTTCCTATGCTAACTTGTATAATTGCAATCACATGATCACATGCTTTGACCATCTCCTTCATTTCACCTGACGATGTCAAATACCAAGGGACCATTTCAATAATTTAAAGAACAAAATGAAATCAATCTGGATTTCTTTCATATTTTTATTTAAGATAATTAAACAGATGCACAAATTCTGTAAAAAGGGATGAAAAAAAAATCAATGTAAATTATTAAAATTATTCTCAAGCTTGTCTTACAATAAATTTTACAAAATATTTAATGTCCATTAAGGTGGCTGGGGTGTCTTCCTCCATCTTGAATTTTGAAGTAGCAGATAACAGTTGGTCTAGATCTTAATGAAATGTGCAAATTTTGAGAGTAGTATGTAATTCATGTGCAAGACTTTTAATGTTAATATAGAAAATTATGTATTTTATCATATTACGGCTGTATTTTCTAAAAAACACAATATTTTTGTTTGATTCATTTTTTTTCAACTTTGCCATAAAAGGGGATATAACTCAGATAAAGTAATTTTTATGATAGAAATTGTTGGTGAATTTACCTATTTTAATATGTAGCAAGAAAACAAGTCTGGTGACCCCATTTTTTCTTTTTCTTATCTGAAAGCATGTTATAAGAGCTATCTTCTCACATTTTATCTTAAAATTCTATGGTGTAGTTTTCTTCTTATCACACAAAATTGGATTTTCCATGCAGAATCTATACAAAATCTGACAATTTTGCACAACCTGTATTGTGAAAAAAAGTCCGGTGACCCATAATTTTTATTATATTTTGGAAAAAAGCATGATAAAAACTACATTTTGACTAATAAAAAAAAATTATATGAATCTTAATTAAGCACCCCCCCCCTCCCTCCCATCCACCTTAATGACTAAGCTTTTATGAAGCCTGGAAGATTATTTCTTAAACTTGTTTCTGTTGCTTTAAATGCAAAAAATTGTTTGGTTATGTTTATGAATGCAGTTATTTTGTAATTGTTTAAATACAACAGAATGCATTGATTACAAATGTTACATGAACATGGTGATGCAGAAAAGGAAATAGAAATAACAAAATTCTAGGAAGAAAGCTGTCTAGGATAATAATTTATTATTCAATCAAGTTTACAATACATATATTACATGATCATACATGTACCAACTTTTTTTTCAAATGAATAAAACTTGTAATTTTTTGAAACATTAACGCAGGCATGTGAGTGCCATGAAAAAATAGTTTCAATCCAATAAAAATGTGGGTGGGTGGAGTTAATAATTCTATTCTTGGGTTGCTTTTACATAAATTGGAAATATACATTGTACATGACATATGAATGTGTTGTGTGTTGACATCTTTAAAGAACCCAGGATGATGCTGCCATGCAGGAAATTAAACTGTCAATAGCCTGCCCTTAAAAGACATCATAATTCTTTGGTTAGGACTGCATTAATTAATTATAAGGCTGGTCTGTTGGGTCTTTCTAATTAGCAACAAGAAGACCAATTTAGCGTCAAGATGCAACAAGAAAACTTAAGACTCTAGAAATCTTACCATTAATTATTTCAAATAAAAAAATATAGAAACATGCATTAAAATCATGCATTACAGTGTTTTTTTTATATCTATATACATATATTCAACATGTTGAAGTGATTTAAATTTTTCAACATTTCAGTTTCACAGACATGACTGATAGTAAATTGAACATTTGTCAAAGAAAATAGGGAATGTGAATTTTTTGTTATTATCAGGGATAAATACAATGTATAAGATCATATATTTACTGGTTTTATCATAGTATATATGAATCAGTATTTATGTCGAGTCAGTATGGTCGAATACATGCATATGTATCTTCTCTTCAAAGGTTCAAATCAAATTACAAGTCAAAGTTAAGGATAGCTCATAATTTGTAAAATATAAACATATGTTCTAAAACACAAGTAAAAATTAATTGATATCAAACATGAACTTGTATAATAATGCAAAAAAAATGTGTATATTAGTAAGAGAAGCAGTCAAAAGTCAATGTATAAAATTTTATCATTCTTATTGAAAGGCAAAACATGTTATTTAGTGTAAGATATATCATAAATACATGAAATATAACTAGCAGTTAGAATAAACTTTCAAAATGTGTTATGCTTTATTATATTTCCAAATTTACTATTGTATTATTTCTATGCGATAGAAGACTTTCAAATTCGTTCATTTTCATACATTTCCTACTTCAAAATGCTTATGTTATTAAGTCACAGTAAGAACCAATGGTTCAATGACATATAATGTATGCTGATTGACCTCATTGTATCACAATATTACACCTATAGCTATTTGTCTGCCATTACTGGTCACCATAGACGTTCCCGTAAAATTTTGACGTCATAAAAGAAAATGTCTAACACAACAATGCAAAAGTGATTGTTGTAGGATGTCAAAAGTTTAAGTGTCACAGATTCCGCAATAGCAATAAGTTCTATAAAAACAACTAGAGATTATAATTAAAGTCTAAACTAAAAAACCTGTGATCAGTCTCACAAAAATCTTATGACTAAAGTTGATTGTACAAATGTTGTAAGTCATGAACAATTCAGTATATGAATATAGGTGTCAGACCACCAATTCACTCACTCCAATTTAGAGCGTATGTAAAAGTAGCCCTTCCCTGACAAAAATAGTGCTTTTGATGTCATTGTTTACTTAAACTAACCAACAAATTTGCAAAAATGAAACTGTTGATGAAAAAGAAATATTTTAGACCATTTTGAGACAAAATTTACTTGTCCATGAGTTTGCATTAAAAATTGAGGATTAATATGCACTCCATGGTATACTTATTTAAGATAACCAGAAAACCAGGGGTTATTTTTAATAGTAGTTACCTTCGGAACATTGGTATTTTGCTACAAGACTTTAAACCTGGGTTGAAAATTGGCATGCAGAAAGGTGATACATGTACAATTCAGGATATACCTGGCTTCTATGAAGTTGAATTTGGAGGTAAAATATTTAGAAAGCTGTGAAAATTGAAAAATTTGGTTGAAGAGATAGGGATTTTGAATTGGTGGTCTGACACCTTTAAAGCAAAAAGCGGTGAATCACAAAAATCATAAAAACAATTGATTTATATCTTAACTGATCATTTCAAATGCAGGTACCAACATTACAACATTTTTTTAGCAAAAAAAAAAACCACAACAATGTTATGAAGATTTCATGAAATTATTTGATTTTTACCTCATATATTATTGCATCATTCAATGTATTTGGCAGATACCATAGCCTAATGTAAAAACTGCATAAATTCACTCCAATCCCATAAATTGTCTGAAATGAAAATTTTCTACCTGAAATATTGTTGACTTATAGTAAATGAGAAATGTTTCATGACTATAACTGTATTATTGATCAATAAATGACCCATTACTGATAATTGATGAAAAAAAGGGGGGGGGGATATTCTTTAGCACTTCATTACCTTTGATTTCTTACTTAACTCATGGTAAAAGTATGACCCATTACTAATAATTGATGAAAAAAGGGGGGATATTCTTTAGCACTTCATTACCTTTGATGTTTTACTAAACTCATGGTAAAAGTTGTAAAAAGTCTTTAAAGCAGTAGGGCAAACAAGAAAAAATCAACCAAAATTGATCTTGATATTGAAAGTTTATGTTCCTGTAGTCAGAAATTGAATTTCAAGTATTTTCTGTTAAAATTATACAATATAGTCAGTTTAAATTGAGCTGTGAATTTTGAAATACAAGTCACATTTTGACAAAATTGTTTGATAAGATATGATTTTATTTACTACACATTGACCCTGGATTAACAATGATTTAGAATAAAGCAAAGCTAAAGACTTCTGATAAACTTTTATTTCTCTTTAGTTGTCAGTCCACCAATTCACTCACTCCAATTTAGAACGTATGTAAAAGTAGCCCTTCCCTGACAAAAATATTGCTTTTGATGTCATTGTTTACTTAAACTAACCAACAAATTTGCAGATATGAAACTGTTGATGAAAGAGAAATATATTTAGACCAGTTTGAGTCAAAATTTACTTGTCCATGAGTTTGCATTAAAAATTGAGGATTAATGCGCTCCATAGTATATTTATTTAAGATTTCCAGATAACCGGTATCAGGTCCATTCGCTCCCACAACACATTCACACCCTACAAGTTCGCACCCCACACGTTTGCACCTTGGGTCCGTTCACACCCTATTAGTATTCACATACCGGTTGAATAAGAAAATGTTTTATTTATGTATATACATGTGTATCAAAATATTTATATTTTCATGAATAAAATCCGTAAAAACAATGAAGATTTTTAAACAAAAAAATGAATGATAATTATTTTTAACAGTTTGTGACTAGTTTGATAATCTTCTGCCTTCCTTTTACAAGTCTTAGAGACAAATGACTTCATCTTTGATCATCATAAGGATTTTGAATTGGTGGTCTGATATAGTATAGGTGACACTTCCGTACTTACGATCAACTTTAGTATTAAGATTTTTGTGAAACTGATCACTGTACAATTAACACAAAAATCGCTGCATTTCAAATGGTAACAAAATTTGAAACTACATAAAACAACTGTAATTTTAATTTGTGAGACCGTAAGGCTGTTAAGACAAGGCAATACCTTTATAATAGTCAACACTATATCAAAATATGTACAGTGATTGGATTGTGAGAACAAAATGCAAATAATTATCCGAATAAATGTCCAGGAAGCAAGTTGTTTTCGGAAGGCGATGTTTTGGAATGGGGAGAGAAGCTGGTTGTAAAGCTGTCAAATGTAGTGTGTGTAACGTTATACATGTCCTCCTCATAATTAGGAGCACGTAGAAGTCGTTGTGACAAAAAAGGAACAAACAGAAAATAAAACAAGTGAGCATTAAACCTAACTGGAGAGAATCGGCAGGAAAATCCATCAACTGATCTAAATGAAATCCTTTTAACATACAAGCTATTTTTACCGGATCAATTCAAATATGCAATTAGCAATATAAGGTTCTTCCTATGTACATAGGCTACATTAAGTGACAAATATTGCCGGGATCCAAATTTTCAATATTAACACTAAAATGCAATTTGTTTTTTTTTTTTACATTTCTACTATGTTAGACAGTATATATATATATACCCTGGGACATAATAGTATAATAGTCCCAGATATACCCAACGTTTTTTTCCAAAAGATATATATAACTGGGACTCTGGGACTATTATACTAATAGTTAGTATAATTGTCCCAGTATATAATAAAGGCGTTTTTTGTGAAAACATTTGAAATTTCTTCTTTACATAAAATTATCTTATTTTAATTATTGATGTAGTTGCAACAGAGACATATATACATATAACCCTTTCCGGACCTATTATATACAAAAAATTAACCAACATGTGGTTGCCGATGATCTCAGAAGATGATTGGATGAGTTTAAAAGTAATAAAATTTACCAGCTCACTCCCGATGAATCAAAATGTGCTAACATGTGTCAATGAAATTAGGTGTGAATGGAATTGACACTGAACTTTATGGAATGTGAAAGGCACTCGAAGGGGATTTCAGACTCAGTCGTTTATCAAAAATGAAAATTTATTTGATAATCATTAGAGAAACAGATTCTTATATAGTCACTCGTGGGTTATCGGTTTTATCCAATCTAGATAATTAATTCATCAATTTTAACTATCTCGATTGGATAAATCCGATAATCCACTGGTACCAATGTAAGAATCTATATGTATTGCGATCTGGTCTTTCGACCAGATAGCTTTCATGATCTTTCATGTTTAAAAGTAGACAGGTATCGACTGTTAGTTTGGCACTAGAAGCAAGATAAATGATAGACAAGTGTCCATACAGTACGTCATTTTCTTTGCCATCGAAGTCTTCATAAAGTGACACTGAAGACAAAGTCTTGGTATCGACACCACGGTAACACCGTTTGGTATGAGGGAAGTCAAAATCGATTTATGATTTTCTTTTGATAGCAGCCCGGCCTTTGGTTGTCTCTGTTAAATTTATTCACACCTTATTAAAACTTTGGTGGCTAGGAGAATGACCGTTTGGTGTAGATACGTCCAATTCTTACATATATTTTTTTTTCCCCCATTAGCATTGCAGATAAATAGGCATGATAGGTACAGAGAAGGTGCAAAACGCAGCAAAAGGTGTACAGAAATATGCATACATTTACTAACATTTATATACAATACTTAGTTGTTTCAATATAAACGTATATTTTAGCCAGGAGGACCAACATGTTTGCTTACAAACTTTATAAACTTGCATAATCTGTTTAGCTCTGGCTTTTTGTTTTTGTGGCTTATCAGTATCTTTCTAAATATATATTATATTTACACGAGCCAAATAGTATTCATCCACGTGAAATTCCCTACTGTTGTAAAAAAAACGGACGTTCTATCAGATGATGAAATATTCGTCACCCATAAGGCGCAAGAATAGTGCCGTAAAGGCGTTTTAATGCTATCGCATGATTAATTTATGCGACAGCATGAGTAATTATGGAATTGCATTATTGGCGTGTTATGCAATCGCATAATTAATTTCGCCGGAATGAGTCTTTTATTCTCATAAACTAAATACAAAGTTACAGAGAATGGTACATATTTAAATATATATATACATAAATAGACTAACTACATGCATGTCTGAAATACTAAATGAAAGTTACGTATTTTAACTAGGAGGACATACTTTCACATTAATAATTTTAATAAATCTACACAATTTTCTGATTATACAGTATTTGTAGAACTGAATAGAACATTAAATTTGTATGTATTTGGATTTTTCCAAAAAATAATTAGATAAAAATTTTGTTCCATCTGCTTTTAGTGTTTCGCAAGTCATGATGTAGTGGTATTCGTCACCAATGTCAGTTGAGTAACAAAAGTAGCAAACTCTATCTTCTCTTGAAACGATTATTTCACAATTAATTTTGCCATTACACAATTGTATAAGTGACCTATATCTGATTGTATTTATGTAATGGCGTATTATCAATCACGGCAATTGGGCTTATTCACGGTTTATGAGTCTGGAATTGTTTGACTATAATATTTAAGCGATCACACTTTATTAATGTAATCCCAAAAATATTCATGCAATTTCATAATGGTAACAGAGATTTTATTTTCCAATCGAAATCTTCCTTGCATGTCAAATTCAAGTGAAACTTTCGGAACAAGAGAGGCGAAAGATACCGGTACCAAAGGGATATTCAAACGCATAAGTCGAAAATAATCTGACAACGCCATGGCTAAAAAAGAAAAAGACAAACAGACAAACAATAGTACACAAGACACAACCTAGAAAACTCGGAAGACTGAGCAAAACGAACCCTACCAAAAATGGGGTCCTCAGTCCGGAAGGGTAAGCAGATTCTGCTCCACATGTGGCACCCGTCTCGTTGCTCATGTATGTACAAACCCGGCGATAAGTCCCATTCGGGGAAAAGGGGACGGCAGTGTAGTTACTTCAATGATTACAAGGATCACAGGCTGGCAAACTGTACATCTAAACGCCGCATAACCCGGACAAAAACTCCCTAGTTCTATTGGGAGTATGTGACTTGTTGTTCTATATTTACATAAAATAATACTTTCATGCAGATCAAAAATGTCCAATTCTCTAAATACTTTTTATTCAAAATCCAATTCTAACTTTAAAATTCTGTAAATGACCGCTGTTATTAACTGGCTCACTTGTTTTTTTTTTCAGAATTTGATTTTTTCCGATATGTCGCAGATCAGAGATATGAGAAAAAATTCACGTCTGCTCTCGTCGACATGTTCAGATCTGTTCATCCTGGGAATAGTATATCTAACGATTTTAACAAATTTGAAGTGACAGAATACAAGTTTGATACACTAGCATCACTATAAAACTAGTTTGAATGACATTTTATTGATAATATCAGAAATTATTAGGATAATAGCGAGTCCGTTTTTAACACATGTCCGTTTCTGTATCGTATCTTTATTAACCATGGCACGACGATAAAATCGACTACAATCAGGTAGTGTCAAGTCCCGTCAATATATATGTTCCTGGTTCATCGTAAGTTGTTATGGACCATTGCTGCAAGTTCTTTTTTTTGTTAATTAGTTGGTTTTTGGTCCTATTATAAACATTTAAATGATCAAGATTATTAATTGTCAGGAGTTATGTCCCTTTAAAATTGTTTTTCTTTCTTCTGAATTTTATGACTATGGCTTCTCAAATGGAAATAGATACACCTTCTACTAGCATGACTAGTGTGATGGCTAGCACAACTGCATCAGGAAGTGTTTCAGTATCGTTTCACCCACTTGTCATAATGAATATTTCTGAACATTGGACAAGAGTACGAGCTCAAGAAGGAAAACCAACCCAGGGTAACATTTTATATAATATAAATAAAAGTCGTTGTGAATAGGACAGATGCAAAATCACCCTTCAAACCCATCATATGATTATCTATCATGCACTTGTGTATGTCTGCAAATTAGCCTTCAAAATTTCAGCTTTTTGGAAAAGTAGTATCTGTATCTTGTCTTCACCTCCTTTAATAAATTAATGGGGCTTTAATTTATGAGAGCCGAGTGATTGCTCACTGAAAGTATAGGTTAAAATTTTTTCCATCCACCACAATGTTAAAAAAATAGTCCATCCCCATATATCATGTATATACATCATTTACATTCTTAAAACACATTGTCTATACAGCATATAAAAATGTCTGTTTCTGGTAGTTATTTCTTCATGCATTTAAGAACTCATACATGTGAGGTATACAGGGTTTCCGCTGGCGGTTTCCATTTTTCACATTTTGTGAAAAAATAAAATTTGTGGCGATTAAAATTCATTATTGGCGAAAGAAATAAATATATAACGATTTCAACGATTTAATTTCATCCATCTTGTTTATTTTATATTTTTCGGATTTCTCTGACTTTATCTGATCAGAACATACTGGGAATTAACCTTGAACTCGTTACGATTTTGACAGAAAATCAATAATCAGCTGGTTGCATTCTATAGCTGAAGGCAACGATGGACTAATTAATAAAGGTGTTGATTGTATTGTTTGACGAAATGATTTGGTGAAATGGAGTCTGTCACATGTCATATAAAAGGATTTATTAACAACTTTGCGACGCACGTGTTCGATGAATAGTTTTTCGTCTCCTCTTCTTTTAACCATGGTTCGTAAAGGAAAACTGTTTTTATGACTAAAAATTTTCAAAAGCAAGAAAAATATCCGATTTAAAACTTTATCCTTTAACTTTGATATAAATAATTGATTTGGAAAGGGTACTTTAAAATCATTTTGGCGACGCACGTCTTTCAAGCATAGTTTTACGTCTCAACTTTTTCTTTTACGATGGTCCAGAAAGAAAACTGTGGTTATGAAGAAATGTAAACAAAAGTAAGAAAAATCTCTGCTTTTAGTCTTTATCCTTCACCTAGAAGGGACATATTATATACCCGATAAACTTATTGAAGATGAATCTCGTGTTCCTAGAAGTCAAAATTTTGATTCCACGATCTTTATTGCATTTGTACAGTATCTTTTAAAAAAAAAAAATTTTTTTGTTTATTGATCATTACCATGTAGACTAAAAAATAAGATTAACTAAGTGAATTATCAAAGACAACAATGGGGCACATTTTTTTGGGAGGGGGGTTAGAAGAAATTTTAAACTATATCTATGATACTTGGCGAAAAAAAATGAAAGTGGCGAAAAATATATTGTTTTGGCAAAAGAGGTGGCGAAAAAAAATAATTGACCCAGGGGACACCCTGGGTATATATACATGATATATATACAGTAAAACACTAGTTTCACTGTATATACATTGTATATATGTAACACTCCCAAACGTGTCCATCCCCCCAAACATGTCCGATTCCCCCAAACGTGTCCATTCTCCCCAAACGTGTCCGTTATATTCAATATTGCCCAAACGTGTCCGATTTCATAACCCCCAAACGTGTCCGATAATTGTTTTTCGCCAAAACGTGTCCACTGTTAAACGCCAGAACGTCTCACGTCTTTTAGCGCTAATACATATACAAATGACATAAATAACGTTTACGGCAATTCTATGATGGGGGACACAGTTGATAAAGTGGTCATTAGTTTGTTCAATGCCGGTTGTTAATGATTATCATAATTGCAAATTTAATCTGTAACATATGAATTAACTTTTGACTGAAATGCAAGTTGCAAGTATTGCATTCTGATTTAGAGCGAACATACAAATAATTTTAGTACAGTTGAATTAATCGTTTACCAAGTGAATTATTTTGTACTAATAAATTCTGATGATGCCTTTTATATTAAACCGAATATTGCACGGCGGGCTTTCCGCAGAATTGACTTCCCTTTTTTCAACAGTTCTGGTATTTTAAAAACTCTTCAAATCAAAAGTTTACTGTTTATCAGGTTTTTTAATAAATTTTAGGTTTCGAGCATTACTAAAGACACACAAACAAGAGACATAACGTCCAGTGCCAAATATTTCATGCATTATTTGAACGACATCATGTTAACAATAAATACTGTACATAGGTTTTATTATCATACCGGGAATTTAGGATTAGGCCTAAATTTTTACGGTTATTCGGGATTAACACTAGTTGGGGTTTTAATCTAAAAATTTAAGAGCCAGTAACAACCAATTTTTTTATGACTTCAGTAAGAAACTACTTCAATCTCCGTTATGTAAGAGGCCGTTTTAAATAAAAGTTGCGGAAATTAAAAAAAAAAGAATGTTGCCTTCCAAAATACAACTGATGGCACCATGAAAGAGTGAATTGCTACACAGGTTTTAATGCGCAGAGAGAGTGACATTCTCCCTACACGAGATATTTGATTTAATATCTACAAATTAACTGAGCATGGCTGCTTACATTTACATCCAACATAGCCGAACATATTGGCACTTTTACCCAGATTATACTGCCGGTTAAAAAAAGACCTAAAGTAATTTATTTCTATTTTTTTAATGAAATAGTAAAATGAGTATACGTTAATGAAAAAGCAATAACCGAATTTATAATATGGACACGAATGATAGTTCCAGTAAAGGAAAAAAATTAAGCTTGATATGGACACGTTTGGGGGATTGGACACGTTTGGGGTATTGGGCACGTTTGGGTGTTTATACAAATGACACGCTTTGGCGCCCTTTTACATTAGGACATGTTTTGCAGTTCAGTGACGTCATATGGACACGTTTGGGGGAATCGGACACGTTTGGGGGGAAGGACACGTTTCTGAGTGTTACATATATATTTAGAGAGATTCTGTAGTGTATAGGAATCCTAATCACTGTTGGGATTAAGAGTCCAGAGCAATATTCTGTCAAATGGGTATAACCCTTATTGATGATAGGTCGCAACTAATCCCTTTTGGGATTCTGAATTAGGAGCAATTTTCTGATTAGGCCGACTGTGAGGCCCCAGACTCATAATCCCAAAAGAGATAATTCACAAACTGTTGACGCAGTTGAGTGTTCACGTTATATGATATTCCTCCACAAAATTATAAAAAACATGAAAAACATGGGTCAAGAAATGGCAGCCCAATGTTTGGACCAAATATATGTGAAAAGTGGGATCAATTTCAAGGATAATATTATGTACATGTAGGTGTAGTGTACTGTACTTATAGTTGACATTGACTTCAAACTTTCAAATTGTTATAATCAGATAATACATGTAGTAATTACTATTCTTATGACAAGTCATCCAGTCAACAGTAGTACTTATATATACAAGTGTATTTTAATGGTATAGTTATATCCCGTAGACATTCAGATATTTTTTACTTACACAAGTATAATAGTCATATTTTCTTCTTTTCTTGAATTTCTCTAGACTACTTTGCTTTAATAGTGTGTATTAATCATTTGAGTTTAATTTCATGGACAATGAAAATTTTATTTGTTTGTTATCTTCAAAATACATGTACTGCTCATTTACCATGTTTACAAGCCTCCTAGGTGCAATTCATGGAGGCCTTGCACAGTTACCTAACATCTTGGCGCAATTGATTTCTTTGTTCAATGATGAAATAGTAAGATGAAAGGTTGAACTCTAATTACAAACTATAAGCAATCCAGAAAAAAATTGTTTCAGGCATGTTTTTACCTCCCAAAACTTGAGAATTTAAGGGGTGTAAAATAAAATTACTTTTATGACATGTTACGTATAAGTAAATTTTTTAGAAAAGATTTTAGAGAAGATTGCTCAAACCTTGAAAAGAAAATAGAAATCTTACAAATTTACTTATACAAGTGTATAATGACTTACATCTTCAAGTAGATAAAAATGACTTGTATAAGTATTACCCCTGACTGTCATAATTGACATGATTGAATAGAGCAAAAATATCAGTTAAGCAGATTTTGAAAAAAAAATGAGAAATACTCCTTAAGTTAAAAGTGAATTCAACTACAATACATGTAATAGTTCATCCATTGTAAAAAATAAAGCTGATGGTGATAATGTTAATGATTGATTTATTGTGTAAAGTTAAAGCTGATGGTGATAATGTTAAAGATTGATTTATTGTGTAAAGTTAAAGCTGATGGTGATAATGTTAATGATTGATTTATTGTGTAAAGGTAAAGCTGATGGTTAAAGATTGATTTATTGTGTAAAGTTAAAGCTGATGGTGATAATGTTAAAGATTGATTTATTATGTAAAGTTAAAGCTGATGGTGATAATGTTAAAGATTGATTTATTATGTAAAGTTAAAGCTGATGGTGATAATGTTAAAGATTGATTTATTATGTAAAGTTAAAGCTGATGGTGATAATGTTAAAGATTGATTTATTGTGTAAAGTTAAAGCTGATGGTGATAATGTTAAAGATTGATTTATTGTGTAAAGTTAAAGCTGATGGTGATAATGTTAAATATTGATTTATTGTGTAAAGTTAAAGCTGATGGTGATAATGTTAAATATTGATTTATTGTGTAAAGTTAAAGCTGATGGTGATAATGTTAAAGATTAATTTATTGGTGCTTGCTTAACAAAGTTAACATCCTGGCAGGTGCAATTATTTCATTGAACTCATTAACTTTATTTTATATTAGAAATGTTAATGTACGACTCTTAAAATGGATTGTCAGTCCTTTGAGGGTTTGTAACTAATTACATGTATAACTAGTTCAGTTTACAGTCAGAGATATAGCTCTATAGGGTTATTACAGAAAATAACTTGTGTGTGTTATTACAGATACTTTCATGAGTTGTCTACTCTTTATTCCTTAAATTTTCTAAATCTGCAATAACATATGTTTGTTATTTGTAAAATAAATCAAAAATATTTTAATTTATAACGGGCTCTAGGGAACTCTTGAGACTTTGCGCAGAAACTAAATGCATAGCCTTGATAATTAATTTTTTAATTAAATTAATACATTTTTGATTAACCATGGTAAATCAATGAGACAAGGCTTTTAAGGGATAAAATTAGCTGTAATAACAAGGCTTAGTTATTAAAGGCATGTAACTTGTTATATGAGACACTTGGGAATTACTGGGAAGCTTGCACAGAACCTCATTACATGCTCTGGTCATTATTTCTTACAATAAATCAAAATACGTTATTAAGCATGATGTATGTCTGAGAAAATGCTTTGGAGTGATATAGAGAAGCTGTGATAACACACTTTAGTTATTACAGTCATATTTTTTCTGTAAAAACATATAGGTGTACTATGCAAATTTGACAAACTATGAACTGTTATGTCTTTCTATAGTTAAGTTTACATAAAGACAATAGTAATATCAATAGAACTTGTATGCATTTTAACTAAACTAGTGATGTTTATTGTCCCTTTGAAACATGTAACATACATATGTTATCATAGTTCTTTGATTTTTTAGTCCACAATAACAAATAACAGGCTATTATTTGAACTTGGAATTATTTTTAATTATGGAATTTGCATAATTTCATGTGTTTGAAATTTTTGATAAATTCCATGTTTATTAAGTATTATTATGTTTTGAGCTGTGCATCACACTTTCCACACAATGTATTTTGTATAGATAGTGTTGTGCGCGGCACAGTACATTCTATTGAAAATGTGCTATCTTCTTTGTAATAGAAAGTGTTGTGCGCAGCACAGAACATTATAATACAGAATAAACATGGAATTCATTAAAAATTTCAAGCACAAGAAATAATGCAAATTCCATAATTAAAAATAATTCCAAGTTCAAATAATAGCCTGTTAAATGTATGTTATTTTTTTGTAATAACCCTATAGAGTTATATCCCTGACTGGTTTATTGATTCCTATTTGTCATGTACCAAATGTGTACCAGTAAAAGATACATGTAGTTCATAGAATATTTTTTCAGGATGAGTAGGTAGTTTAAGGGAAGTTCAAATTTGAATTTCTTGCTATTTCTGCATGCAATAATAACAATTTGTCCTAAAAAATTGCAAGGTCTGGTAAGTCTCACATATTTGTAGTTTGACCTTGACCTCACATTTTAACATATTATTATATTATGATATAATAATAATCTTTGATATATTGTTGAGGCCAGACATTTCAACTCTTTTGTAAGATAAATTATGCTAATATTCAGTTTTGATGTATTACTGTTTTTAAGTTCTTGGAGCAGTTATTGGTAAACAGAAAGGAAGAATAATAGAAGTGATGAACTCCTTTGAGTTGCTATTTGATAGAATTGAAGATGAAATAGTTATAAATATGGAATATTACAACACTAAGGAAGAGCAGTGTATGTATAAAAGAAGGTGTCACAATGAACACAAGGTCAATTCATGTAAAATTTAATGAGAAATTCACAGATGCTGTACCTATTATTCTATTGTATGACAAAAATCTGTTGAAATTGATTCACAACATACCATTTAATTATAAACTCAGTCTCTATGCTTTAAATTTTAACATGTTTAAATAGTGTTTTAGCAGTTCAAAATAATCAAAAAGTATATACACATTATATATTAAACAAAATATTTCAAATTATCAGAGAAATGATATTGATCAGTTTTATAACGGTTTTTGTTTCAGTTAAACAAGTATTTAGTGACATGGATTTTCTTGGTTGGTATACAACAGGAGAGCAGCCTACCCAGTCTGATATACATGTACATAAACAGGTAAGATATACCTACATTCTGCCATTCAATAATCATGATAATATATCAGTACAAGGTATCTTTTATTCAATTGGAACCATTGAAAGCTTTGACATTCCAGCTGATGTCTTACCATACCTAATAAATATTTGAAGAAATGTTTAAAATTTCATGAACCTACATGTACAAGATTTTTTCCTGTCTGAATATTTGCTACTTGTAACATAATAAGACATGAGTTTCCTATCACTTCATCAGAACAGCATCTCACTCTGTAAACTTCCTACTGTACAGTCTTCACCAAAATCTTTTCCAACTACTAGTTCAAAGACCAATATTCCCCCCTTTTTTTGTCTGTCCAAACAAAGCAGCACTCTCATCATGTGATAGCTTTATTGTATTATATTTTTTGTGAAAATAAAACATTTTACTTAGCAATAATATAAACTCATAGTCTCTTGTTTCAATATGTGCATATAATTCTGTCATGTCTGTTGGTAGCAAATAGAACCCAAGTCTCTTGTTTCAATATGTGCATATAATTCTGTCATGTCTGTTGGTAGCAAATAGAACCCAAGTCTCTTGTTTCAATATGTGCATATAATTCTGTCATGTCTGTTGGTAGCAAATAGAACCCAAGTCTCTTGTTTCAATATGTGCATATAATTCTGTCATGTCTGTTGGTAGCAAATAGAACCCAAGTCTCTTGTTTCAATATGTGCATATAATTCTGTCATGTCTGTTGGTAGCAAATAGAACCCAAGTCTCTTGTTTCAATATGTGCATATAATTCTGTCATGTCTGTTGGTAGTCTATAGAAACCAACAACAGTAACATCTGTCATGACTGTCCTTAACCACTCCTAAAAATGTTGACCTCTTAATGTGTTTTGTTGCAGTACTATAAAGGTACATATATACCTCCTTTTATTTATGTGTAAGAGACAAGTTAGTGAATTATATTTTAATAAAATAAAGTTAATTTATACAAAAATATAATTATCTGCATAACCAACATTTTGGATTTTGTTTTTGTATCCAAAAATGTGACTAATATGTTTTATTTTCATACAGATTGTCCAAATAAATGAAAGTCCATTGTTTGTGAAGATGAATCCATTGGCCAGGAAAACAGATGTGAGGGTCTAGCAATTTATACTATAAGACTGTATAATTTTTGTCTCGCCTTGACAGAGTCAAAAAGCGAGACATAGGTATGCTGTTGCCGGCGTCTACCCTATGTTACTGACTTGATATATATATCTTCCAAGATTTATCACTTCCTTTGATAGTTCGAACAAAAGGGTGCAGTGAAGTGATCATTATTTAGATCCTATCCAGCCAATGTCATGCAATTCATTGATGATTTGTTATACTTTGATATTTAAGTTACAATATGATGTATATTTGAATTACCATACTTTTCAAGAAATTTTTTTTGTTAAAAATTACAAAAGTAATGCATGGTGAATGAATCTGTTATAAAAATAGGTTAAACTACAAATGTGCTTCATGAAATAAGGGAGATAACTCCAACTCAATTTTCATATGCCCGTATTATGGTATACCGTTGTCTGTCTGTCCGCCCGTCGTCAACAATAACTCAAAAACACTGTCACTAATTTGCAAGAAAATTTTGTGAATTGTTTATATCTATTGATGTGAACTCCCTTTCGATTTTTATGAATTTTAAATTTTACGTTTCCGAGTTATGGGGTTTTATTCATTAAAAAGGGGGGATTTTCCAGTTTTCGGACTATACCTCACAAATACTTTGAGCAGTTTTCATGAAACTTTGGTGAATTGTTTATATCTATTGACGTAAGCTCCCTTTCGATTTTTATAAATTTTAGATTTCGATATATATGACATTGAGGAGTTATAGAACTTTATTCTTTGAAAAAGCGACAGGTGTATCATGCGCTCATGGTGCAGCTCTTTATTTTTTATTTGCCTAGCAAAATACAATTCAATGTTTTATTTCAAATTTCACAAAATTGAAAAACGAAAGCAATCTTTACCCTTCAATGCTAACAAGCACTTTGACTTACACCTCATCGCCAATAGCCTTGCTGCTACTCTACCATGTGAACATTAAGGTATCCTGTAAATGCTAATACATGTATCTGTAACTTCCTGTACATGTGTTTGGCAAACACAGTTCTTAACAAAATCCATAGCATTCAAGGAACACATTCTCTTGGTATATATTCATGGCAGCAAATAACACAACAGTATTATTAATCTAGTGTAAATTTATTTGTTATGTTTCAGGTGATGCCAATTTCTATATATGAATCTGTCATTGACTTAGTGAACAATGAGGTAAATACAATGTATATCTATATATTATGTATGACTCCTCAAAATTCAAGTCTATCCTAAATTGAGGTAAATTATATGGCTTTCCAAATACCGTTTCGATTCCCAACATCACTGAAGAGACATTAATTGTCGAAATCCGGATATGGTGTACAAAAACCTTTGCACCTTTTTTGCGGTATACCATCTTTTCCGCAAGTTTATTGTTTTCTGTTTAGTATTAAATTTATAATTAAGATCCATTTATTACATCGGTGATCCGTTTATTTGGAAATCGCCAATGGCAGTCAGCAGGGTTTAAGAACATTTGTTGTTCGACCTGTTAGTCAAATGCGTTTTGTTAAAATATACCTTTTCACTTTTTTGGTCTTTTGGAAAATGTTTGTGCTGTATTTAGACCCCTGTAACAAGAAATTTGTTTTGCATGCACACGTATAAAAATTGCGGTTTTTATCCAACGCAATCATAGGTTTGAACGTTGTTTTCAATTTAGACTTGTTTATATATTATGTATATACACACAGAGTTTATAATTGGGAACATTTCCAAAATATCACTTACACATTTATTTAATTTACCTTAAATCTTGCTTATTATGAAAATGAGAAGATGAGGTATGATTGCCAATGAGACAACTCTCCACCACATACCAAATGAAATAGAAGTTAGCAACAATAGGTCACTGTACAGCCTTCAACAATGACCAAAACTCAAACTGCATAGCAAGCTACATGTCAACAGCCATCAAAATGACAAATGTAAAACTAAACTAACTAGAAAAATAACATCTTGATTTATGTACAAAATGATAACTTAAAACAAATATGATATACATCAACAAACAACAACCACTAAATTACAGGCTCTGGCATATATTGGCAGCCCCAACACATTTGTACCACTTAGGTAATAAACTAAATTTAACTTCAAAAGGAATTGATTCAAACAAGCTATACAATAGTACTGGTGAGTCCAAAGATGCATCAAGTTTATAAATTTTGTATCAACTAAGCACATGTACAAATATCATCATTCTACATGTATACATGTATCAAGTTTAAAAATAATCTGAATTTGATGTCATTTCCTGCCTTTTTTGGTCATGGAGACCAGTGACTGAAATGATAAATTATTTAGCAAAAATTGCATAGTTAGCACTCTCATGTGTACAATTCTTGCAAGATTTTTAAGAAACTTATATTGTAGGTTTATATCAGCAGTGTCTTAGACGAGTTAGAAAATCAGTGCCGTTCAATTATTTTTATACTTCTTTCAGGTCAATATATCCTTGTATCGACCTCATAAAAAGGCTATATTTGTTATATTATTAATTTTCGACCATATTTGTATCAAAATCGTCATATGATTTTGTTGGAATTTTATAGATATTATATTGTCTCCTTGACAATAACAACATATTAGTTGTTATTTCATTTACTTTTTTTTGTTTGTTTGACATCTTATGTATTTAAAAAAAAATTTTGTCAAATAATCGATCACAGATGTCATTTGTTTCAAAACGTTGAACAATATCCTGAAATTCATTACATGACGTCACAAAGTATATCGGTTTTTAGATATTCTAAAAATAACCGTGCAATATGCATTTTGCTGTGCAATATGCTTTTTGCTATCCGCCGTTTTCTCTCTACCTTCGAAAATATAGTTTAACATGTGACTATCCCTAAACGAATCAAATTTGTTAAAATATACGAATTAATAATATTATGGTATACCGTTGTACGTCCGTCCTTCTGTCCGTCCGTCCGTCCGTCGTCAACATGTCGGACATTAACTCAAAAACGCTTTAACCAATTTGCATAAAACTTTGGTGAATTGTTTATATCTATTGACGTGAGCTCCCTTTCGTTTTTTATAAATTTTAGATTTTACCTTTACGAGTTATGGGGTTTTATTCTTTAAAAAAAGGGGGTTTTTCCAGTTTTCGGACAATAACTCAAGAATGCTTTCACCAACTTGCAAGAAATTTTGGTTGATTGTTTATATCTATTGACATGAGCTCCCTTTGGATTTTTATAAATTTTAGATTTTACGTTTCCAAGTTATGGGGTTTTATTCATAAAAAAAGGGGGATTTTCCAGTTTTAGGACAATAACTCAAAAATGCTTTCAGCAGTTCTCATGAAACTTTGATGAATTGTTGATATCTATTGATGTAAGCTCCCTTTAGAATTTTATAAAATTTAGATTTTACATTTATGAATTATGGGGTTTATTCATTAAAAAAGGGGGGATTTTCCATTTTTCAGACAATAACTCAAAAATGCTTTCAGCAATTCGTATGAAACTTTGGTGAACTGTTTATATCTATTGATGTAAGCTCCCTTTAGAATTTTATAAATTTTATTTGTTTATAGTCTGACAACAGATTTACTAAGTATTGCGCAACAGCACAGTGTATTGCACAACAGCAAGAAATCTTTAATTGAATATAAATTCAATTCATATAACCAACTTCAAGTTCTTTGACTACATTTATTCAGAAACCTATAATACGTGTATGTCAAATATTTAATTACAATCCAAATTCAGACCTGTATCAAGCTTGAATATTGTGTCCATTTTTGTCCCAACTGTTCAGGGTTAGACCTCTGCGGGCGTATCCAGCTGCGCTCAGCGAAGCAGTTTATTAAAAGAGTTATGCCCCTTGGAAACATTAATTAAATGCAAAATTGCATCGTTAGCGCTCTCGTGTGTACAATTTTGCCAGATTTTAAGAAACTTATATTGTAGGTTTATATCAGTTATGGCTCGGACGAGTTCGAAAATCAGTGCCAATCAATTATTTAAAAAGTGGTTATGCCCCTAGGAAACATTAATTATATGAATTGCATTGTTAGCGCTCTCATTTGTATAATTTTTGCCAGATTTTTAGGAAACTTAAATTGTAAGTTTATATCAACGATGTCTTGGACAAGTTAAAAATCTGTGCTGATCAATTATTTTTAAAAGAGTTATGCCCCTTGGAAATATTAATTACATGGAAAATTGCATTGTTAATGTTCTCATGTGTACAATTCTTGCCAGATTTTTATAAAACTTGCATCATAGGTTTATATTATCAATGTCTTGGACAAGTTAGAAAATCAGTGGGGATCAACAATTTTAAAAGAGTTATGCCTGTTGAAAATATTGATTACAGTCAAACCTTGGTAAACCGGACCTTGAATAAACCGGTTTCCTGTCCATTCCAGCCAAAATATTGAAGTCCCATTTTTTCCCTTCAAAGTCTTTGTAAAAATACCCTCCATAAACCAGACCCTTGTATTCCGAATTCCGGTCTAATTTTGCAGCCCTAATACTCTTTATCACATTAATTATTACCTGTCAAAAAACGGTTTGTTTAATTAAGCTTATATGATAACAGTATTGATTGATATGCAGTCAAAACACAATAGTTTTCACAACAGAATTTTATTAGGATAATTAATTACATGTAGCAAGGTGTTAAACATGTAAACTGTGAACTTAAAGTAGTAAGCTGTTTAATTGAAACACAATTAAGTTTACATTAAAATAAACTAAGAGAAACATTTGAATACATTGTCGCCGAATATATCTAGGATAGAACTTATGTTGTAACATTGATCCAATCCCTGAGTTACTGAGAAATTTACATTGTAATTTTGAAATGCTTGGCTCCTTGTTGTGAACCCCGAAATTGATAAACCTGAGAAGGGAGAAGACCTGGACGATGACTTTCCATTGTCCAGTTTATGATAAAATTCTTGCTTTTTGATTCGAGCTATACCAACGTAGAAAACAAACAACGGAAGTAAAAAGAAACTCTCGTTCAACAATTCAAACAATGCCAGGGTCCTGATGCAAATGAAAACAATGAACTCAAAGTGAAAGTGAAACTTACGAGTTAGAGACTGATGCCATCGAAGCCAATTTGACTTACGAGGATATACAATATAAACCGACCCACTGTCCAAACCGGCCGTTTTTCATAGTCCCATAGCCAGTTGGTTTATACAGGTTTTACTGTATATGGAAAATTGCATTGTTAACGCTCTAAAAGTGTACAGTTCTTGCCAGATTTTTATGAAACTTATATCATAGGTTTATATCAGCAATGTTTCGGACAAGTTCGAAAATCAGTGCCCTTTAATTATTTTTCAAAGAGTTATGCCCCTTGGAAATATTAATTGTATGGAAAATTACAATGTATTTGCTATCAAGCCTTCATTTCTCTCATAAAATATGTGCAACGTGGAGGACATTGGAACTTTGTTCTTTTATTATTTTATGATTAACTCATTTATTGCTGGACAATATTTTCCCTCAAGATCATAGATAATATATGTAGTATGTGAACAACTTGAATTGTTTTCCCATATTTTAGGCAACAATGTTATTTGTGGAATTAAGCTATACAATAGCTACAGAAGAGGCAGAGAGAATAGGAGTTGATCATGTAGCAAGGTTGTCATCCTCAGAAACATCAGATAGTTCAACAGGTATGACTTTAAATATTTTTGTTAGGTAGAGAAAATTTGAGGACTAGCTACTACTGTCATAGCAGTCATCTTCAATAAACAGATTTCTCTACTATATGTCATACTAGCAATCATACTGTATCTAGCAAAGTAGGAAAGTGAATATATCTAACTTGTCATCAACACTTAATTCCTAAAATGACAAAAAACATCAAATACAGCCACTTATCATGATCCCAAGTTGGAAAAACACAAAAGCATGTGACATAATAAAAGTGGTTTTTGATATCTCAGCCCTCTTTTTTTAGCTCACCTGGCCCAAAGGGCCAATGAACTTTTCTCATCACTTGGCGTCCGTCGTCCGTAAACTTTTACAAAAATCTTCTCCTTTCAAACTACTGGGCCAAATTTGACCAAACTTGACCACAATCATCATTGGGGTATCTAGTTAAAAAAATGTGTCCGGTGACCCGGCCAACCAACCAAGATGGCCGCCATGGCTAAAAATAGAACATAGGGGTAAAATGTAGATTTTGGCTTATATCTCTGAAACCAAAGCATTTAGATCAAATCTGACATGGGGGGTAAAATTGTTCATTAGGTCAAGATCTATCTACCTTGAAATTTTCAGATAAATCTGACAACCTGTTGTTGGGTTGCTGCCCCTGAATTGGTAATTTTATGGAAATTTTGCAGTTTTTATACGCCCGTTTACGGGACGTATTATGGTATACCGTTGTCCGTCTGTCCGTCCGTCCGTCTGTCCGTCTGTCCGTCCGTCTGTCCGTCGTCAACATGTCGGACATTAACTCAAAATTGCTTAAACCAATTTGCATAAAACTTTGGTGAATTGTTTATATCTATTGATGTGAGCTCCCTTTCGTTTTTTATAAAATTTAGATTTTACGTTTCCGAGTTATGGGGTTTTATTCATTAAAAAAAGGGGGATTTTCCAGTTTTCGGACAATAAGTCAAGAATGCTTTCACCAACTTGCAAGAAATTGTGGTGAATTGTTTATATCTATTGACATGAGCTCCCTTTTGATTGGTTATTATCTTGAATATTATTATAGATAGAGATAAACTGTAAACAGCAATAATGTTCAGCAAAGTAAGATCTACAAATAAGTCAACTTGACGAAAATGGTCAGTTGACCCCTTAAGGAGTTATTGCCCTTTATAGTCAATTTTTAACCATTTTTCGTAAATTTTTGTAATCTTTTACAAAAATCTTCTCCTCTGAAACTACTGAGACAAATTTAACCAAACTTGTCCACAATCATCATTAGGGTATCTAGTTTAAAAAATGTGTCCGATGACCCCGCCAACCAACCAAGATGGCAGCCATGGCTAAAAATAGTACATAGGGTAAAATGCAGTTTTTGGCTCATATCTCTGAAACCAAAGCATTTAGAGCAAATCTGACTTGGGTAAAATTGTTCATTAGGTCAAGATCTATCTGCCCTGAAATTTTCAGATGAATCTGACAAGCCGTTGTTGGGTTGCTGCCCCTGAATTGGTAATTTTAAGGAAATTTTGCCGTTTTTGGTTATTATCTTGAATATTATTATAGATAGAGATAAACTGTAAACAGCAATAATGTACAGCAAAGTAAGATCCACAAATAAGTCAACATGACCAAAATTGTCAATTGACCCCTTAAGGAGTTATTGCCCTTTATAGTCAATTTTTTACAATTTTCATAAATTTTGTAAATTTTTGTAAATTTTTACAAAATATTTTCCACTGTAACTACTGGGCCAAGTTCATTATAGATAGAGATAATTGTAAGCAGCAAGAATGTTCAGTAAAGTAAGATCTACAAACACATCACCATCACCAAAACACAATTTTGTCATGAATCCATCTGTGTCCTTTGTTTGATATGCACATAGACCAAGGTGAGCGACACTGCTCTTTAGAGCCTCTAGTTTATTTCAGTTAATGAACTAACTTAAGGTTCACAAAAGAACAAACTATAAATCAATAGAGGAAAATATGAACTTTGAAATAATGGTAGATAATAGATAAAAGCATAAGTACAAACAAAACAATAATAAATATTTTTACATATCAAATAATGCTGCTGATTGAAAGAGATGTTGTCCTTTGCTCTAATATTGCTGACTGTACTTCTTAGGAGGTTTTATACAGCATCAGCATAAACAGTTCAGGAAGACATGGTTGTGTGCATTGTAAAGGACAAGCTACAGAAATTTAATGCAGAAAAATAAAAGAATGATTTTAGACTTGCTTTAAACTATAATTGATCAAATTGATGTTTATCACAGAAAATACCAGATGTAACAGTTGTACAACAACACAGTTATTATAACCTTTATCAATAATCCTATTTCGCCATAAAGAAAGAAAAATGATTAACCTGTGTTTTCTTTTTAGTTGCTGAACAGTTGGTTGCACAGCATAGTTCTATAAAGATGTTACACAGCCGAGTCAAGATTATTCTGGAATATATTAAAGCTGTAGAGTCAGGTATAACTTACACAGCCAAGGGTTTATCTTAGTATTTTGTCAATACACCTATTTTGAGATAGTTTACCAAAAATTATCTGTCATATTTATCCCTTGTGGACAAGTATATATGTGTCATATATAGAACCAGTCTTTTGGTTTGTTTTTACATAAATTAGGAAAAAAAGGACTGATTGTATCCCTTGTGGACAAGTATATACCAGTACATCTCAAATACTAAAAGTCAATATTTTTCCATGTAGATTTAAATCTGAAGTCACAACCATGAGCTACAACAGTGACCACTCTTTTTTTATGCCCGCATCAGGGAGGAGGGGACATTATGTGTTGCCCTTGTCTGTCTGTCTGTACGTACATACGTCCCAAAATTTGGGTGGTGTCACTTTTACAGTTCTCTAATTATATCTCTTTATAACGTTATATGCAAGCGAGGGTATCATCTGTGTCCCATGGACACATTCTCTATTTATTTAGATTTATATGTACAGGAACATGTAATCATACCTCTGCTTTACAAGTGACAGTTCGTCCATCCATAAGTTCATCACACTTTTCTAAGAATGACGTCATATTTGGTCAGCAGCTTGACAGTGATGAGTTGTAAAGTGTGAGTTCTTTTTGGATTTGTCCGATACCTTTCTTCCTGATTGCCAATACTTTGAATTTTTCAATATGTTGAATAAACTTAGAATCTTTTGTCACACTTACTCAGGAATTATGGAGCAGAATAATTTCATATTTGGTCTGCAGCTCAACAGTGAGTTGTAATGTGTGAGCACTTTACAGATCTGTCAGATACCTACTTCTTATTTGTCAAATCTTTGAATTTACAATGTGTTGAATAAACTTAACAAATTTTGTCACTCTTTTCTTTGACACTACAGAACAGAATGACTTCGTATATGGTAAGGAGCTCAATAGTGATCAGTTGTAACTTGTGAGCACTTTTCGGATCTGTCAGACACTTACTTCCTGTTTTATGGTACTTTCAATTATGAGTGGGGGTATGCTTACATAACAGCTTATGCATTCTTGCTTTATTTTACTTTCTCTCTACAGAATGAGTAATCCAGGCATCTGTTATGATTTCAAGGTTGGAATATATGAAAAATAAATGGTACCTAATGGAAAGTTTGTTTTTCAAAAAAATATGAATTTAAAAAGTTGAAAATAACAACAACAAATTCTCAATGAGGAAAACTAAAAATCTGTTCAAATTTCCAACTAATTTTAATTCATGCTTGCATTAAATTGTACAATTATCTTCCAGTATATTTGGGAGTTGTGTCATAGTTGCATTGTTTAATGATGAATTTGTTCATAATTTTAGGTGAAATTCCAAAGAATCATGACATTTTAAGAGAAGCATACAGTTTATGTTATAGATTACCAGTGTTAAATACTCCACAGTTTAAGGAAGACTTTTATAATGTAAGAAAACTATAAATTATTAAAAAAACTGTATATTCCAAAATTAATTATTTAATACAAATAAGTCAACAAGACATGATCTAATGTTGGAAAATATTTGAACATACATTTTTATAAGTTATAATAGTTTATGACTGACTGAAAAAGAATTTAACTGAGACACAGAATACTGATATTAGGTAAATAATATGGTTACAAAAATGGTTTAAACTGAAAATGATGCACAAATTATAAGCAGGGAGAGGTAAAGTGGTTATCAGAATAAAACACAAAAATAAAGGTAATATGTAATTGATTAAACAAACCAAGTTATAAACTTAAACTATCAAGATAGATAACACACTTAGCAATGAGGATAAAAACATGATATTTGACCAAATATTGTAACTTTTAATGACTTTATCAAGATATTCTGGATATAAAAGTATTGAGATGTGGAATGATGGCCAATAAAACAATGAGCACTATCCTTAGGCAGTGTTGTAACAGCACACCAATATAAAAAATGTATATACCAGAAATAATTAATCAGGTAGGTAATAAGCACAAAACTCACATGACAAAACAGAAATATGAAAATATTATAGATATCCTTTCAATAAAATTGGTAGCAAGAAAAATCAAATTGTTTTATGGAATTGGAAATAAATATTTTCAGTTTGCATATTAGATGTCATCAATAATAATATATTTAGATCATAATACAAAATTTATAATCAATTGAAACTGTTAATACAGCTAGAACATTATCATGGCGTTGATTCATCATGTTCATAAGATGGATTTTTTTTTCACATGCAGTAAGGAGTAATATGCATACTTTTGTATAATATTTATTTTTGATATTTTCAGCAATGTAATGATGTATGTTTGATGGCTTACTTAGGAACACTTACAAAAGGATGTAACACAATGAATCAGGTATTTTAAGCTGACAAAACATTTTACATTCATGAACTGTTCATATATTATAGATACATTTTTTTTTTAAATTACAACAAATCTCATCTTGGTCTGCTGGCAAAAGTCATACATGTCCAACTGATCATTTCAGACGTGTCAACAAACAAACATCTTTATTTAACAACTTACAGACATTATTATTGAGTATACTCTAAGAACAACATAATACATTGTATATATACAGATACCTGACTGCAGCTGGTTGCAGTATTGGTTGGCGATATCAGCCTACAATCTAGGATTAAGGTGAATTTCAGTTTAAATTTGCTAAATTAGTAGTTTGAAAGGAGAATATTTTAATGGTATTTTTCTATAAGTTCCTGCTGATGATTATAACAAAGATGTCTTGAAATTCATTTATAAAAAATTGAATGTTTCAAATGCAATAAATTTTGTTTATATTACAGCCAAATGACTTGAGTGTGTAGGTAAAGGTAATATCATTGGTTAGCTTACTTGCTAGATGAACCGTGAAGTATACTACCCTCCTTTAAGAGTAGACTAGTCCGACAGATAACTGTCTGTAGGACTAGACTACTCCAAAAGGAGGGTAGTATACCAAATCTAATAAAGATTTCACGGTTCAGCTAGCAAGCAAGCTAGCCAAAGATATTACCTTTACCTACACACTCAAGTCATTTGGCTGTAAACTGTTGTGAAGGAACTCAACTCCCAAACACAACATTAATTTATGAACCATAGAAGTCTTAAAGGGGCATTAGCTGCATGTCAAATCCATGTTCATAGATTTAACTCAAATCCTCAAAATTGATTTATAGCATGCTAAAATATCTAATTTACAAAAAGTCCAAAAGATACAATTCACAATGCATGTACTAGCATTTTGTGCATATTTTAGAACAAAGGGCATCTAATCAACTATTGAGATGATAGCTGAAGACTGCTGATGGTCATATCAACAGATATAAATATAAATATAGATAGAAAAGTACATTCTATTGTATATATATTGATGATTTTTGTTGGTCAATTTGATTTTATTTCATAGATTACAAAACATGTAAATCATTGTTTTACCTGTATAAGAATGATTTTTTTGCTGAATCAACAAAAGGATTCTTCCTGTGGCCTCCCTTTTTTTACTTTTCAATGTCGACATTCTTTTCTTTTTATAAACTGAACATGCTAAGCACATAAGTAACTCATTTCCAGCTTAGAGTTGCATGATTACAGATTCAAATGAGTTGATTTATTGACTATCAATAATACATCAGCAATGTTTTTGAGTTTATTTTGACCAAATTGAACCAAACTTTCTGCTAATAGAAAAATATTATTTCAATATTACACTTTTATAAATGTTTTGAAACGAAAAATATTTATATTTTATTTGCTTGTCTGTATCATAGCTAATGCTCCTTTTAAGGTGTGCAAGAGGGCAAAAACTAAGAAATAACTGATAAGTTTACTAAACAAATATCTTAAGTACAGTATCAGAATACAAACAATCAAACAGATAGTAAGTAGTCTTTGCTCCTAGGGCCTGTGGATCTTTTACAAAAAGCAATAAACAAAGTCATACTTTTTTTTAACAAAAAGACGATGAATGCATTATTTTCATTAAAAAATGTTGCTTTCTATCTTCAGTTTGTGACCAAATTCAACATGATGCACAACAGACAAGGCACAGGACATAGGATGAGAGGAGTGATATTTTAAATTTTTCTTATGGTATGTTTTTTTCTAGCCTGCACCAAAAGTCACAGAATGCGAGACAGAGGGATTACAATCCGCCGGCGCCATAAACTATTTGTATTAAGCTTTATATTTTAGAGGATAGAAGACCTGCAGGTTTTATACCTTGTTTACAGTTACCTTATGTAACAAAGGTTTGGTCTGTCATATATCTGTTGTTCTGGACCTCATTTTCATGGTTCAGCAATTGCTTTAAAAAAAAGTTCAGTTTTTTTGTCATGTGAATTTCTCATGAATTGATTTGTGATCAAGATTTAAGTTACATGCTTAGGTCTGTTTCTCAGATACTGTATGGTAATTGGCCTTGTTAAGTTTGCACTGGTACGTTGTCTGCACCCCCCCTTTTCCCCACAGGAATTCAGGAAAAAAAACTTTTTCTCACTTGTTGAAAATATCTAGTAAACCTCAGATAACTGCAAAGTGTTTGTGATCATTTGTGTTATTTTCATGGAAAATCCATTTTCCATCATCAAATAGAATTTGAAAGTGTTTGTAAATGAATCTAGAAAACTTTACAAGTGTTAAAATAAGCCAAAATCACAAAAAAAAAAAAAAAAAACGAATTGAAAAGTTGTTTTTGACATGTTTGACATTAACTGGAAAAAGGAATAGAATGTGTAAATCACAAACAAATACTGTGAGAGTGTGAGGAAAATTGGTACTTAATAGATATCACTAAAGAATACGACTTTGAAAGTAAAACAGTTCTGTCCTTTATTGAAATACTGTAATATATTCATCACATTAATGTTTAAAGGACTTGTAGCTATAACAATACCCATGCAGCACTATGAAACAACAAAATGGAACTATTATCTAATTACGTTTGGTAATTTTGATTTTTTTTTCTATATCACAGACAATTACAAGACCGAATTCAGTAATGACATTCATTGGTCAATGTTAAGTTTCTGTGTTTTGGTCCCTTTTCTAATACTTCAAGCAATAGGTCAACTTTAATTGGTGTATGGAATGATTGTAAGGTTTACATGTCTGGCAGGGTTCATCTGACCTTGACCTCATTTTCATGGTTCATTGGTCAATATTAAGTTTTCATGGTTTGGTCTTTTTATTGTATACTATAAGCTACAAATGTATAGGTCAACTATATTTGTTGTATGGAATGATATCTGTCTGGCTTGGATTATCTGACCATGACCTCATTTTCATCCATGAAAATGTTTAGTTTATGCGATACTTGTAGTAAACTTTATCTTTAGGAGTATCAACATAAAATCAATCATGGTTAGTAAAGCAGGCGAGACATTTCAGCATGTGGACTGTTGTCTTTTAATGTGATTAAAACAGGCTGTTTGTTTTCTCTGTTCACTGAGTGTTGTATTGTTCTACATTTTTGTCTTGTCTGTACTAATATTACAGAATGCAAGACAAAGGGATTCTAATTGGCAGTGACAGCAGGTATTGGCGAAAAGCTTTATATTTTAGAAGAAAGACGACCTGGTTACTTCATATCATGTATATATACAGATGTTTCTTTTCTGCATATTTAAAATGAAACCGCACACATCTTTGCAACTATCTAAAAAAAGTCTATGCCAATCCCTAACTTAATTATATAAGTGATATTCAGGGGAAATATCAGTTATATATCTCTTCATGTTGCCTGTAGTATACAATACTTTTCCTAGATTTGGTCTTACTAGGTGTTTTACATGAGAGCTGTATGGAGTATGTAAAATTTTCTTTTTCTCAATGACAGCAGTTGACTGGTATAATGTAAATCCATAAGCATTAAGAAGGTGTAAATTTCTCTTGTAATTATCCTTATTTGAATTTAATGTTTTAAATTTAGATAAGTGGAAGTGTAAGCAATTAAACTTTTGTTTTACAAACCATAGGATGTGTGTAAACTGTAAAGGTGCAAAAAAATTGATTAATTTGTGTTAAAAAAAGGATGTGTGTGCATGGAAGTCATTAGTGATTTAACTATCACTGGTCACTATCAGTTCCTTAGGAAACAATCAACCCAGTAGCCATTGCTTTGGTAATGGCATGATTTAAATGGTACATTTCATTTGAAAAATCATGTAATTTTATAATTTAAATAGGAGAAACTTTGTAATTGTCTTCACTTAAAGTTTGTATATGGCATTAAAGAATGATAATTTGAAAACAACTGCTGGTCACTGTAAGGTCTTCTATATGGAGACAAATCCACAGCATATAGTTAGCTATAAAAGGCATATGCATAAGGTGAAACAATAGCTATAAAAGGCATATGCATAAGGTGAAACAATAGCTATAAAAGGCATATGCATAAGGCTGAGTTGTGTCTATTATAACATTAAACAAAACTTGATTATGACAGACAGCAAACCATGACAACCAATAGACTACAGGGTCCTCACTTGGGACAGACACACACATTATATAGCAGGGTTAAACATGTTCGTGAGCGTTTTTAAAGATTTAAGATAAAGAAATTGATATAAAACAAAACGTTTAAATAGTTCCATATGCATTGTCTGATTTTGCAGAAAAGAAAGCATCAATTGATCACTAGTCTAATGAAATTCAATGTTTAAAACTTTAAAACTGTTTAAAGATATTTATTGTAGAAAGAGCCAATATACTGTGGTTTCATTTAATTTTCATGGGTATCAATTTTCATGAATTGATGAAAAAATAGAATGTTTATAGCAACCAATCAATAAATGTCTGCCTCCAAATTTTTGAATGTGTGTATGATTACAACAAAACCTGAGGATTACACAAGGTTGTCCAAACAAAGTAGAATGAAACATTTTAAGATCCTTGTTATTAAAGCATGAGCACAGGATCTGTTAGAATGAAACATTTTAACATCCTTGTTATCAAAGCATGAGCACAGGATCTGTTAGAACGAAACATTTTAAGATCCTTGTTATCAAAGCATGAGCACAAGATCTGTATTTTAATCAGACTATTTGGAAATGTGTGTATACTTTTTGTGAACCTTGCTATCTTCTTATTTTTCCTGAAGGTATTTAGGTACATATATCACTTAGTATCAGTTACATAAACTTCTCATCAGAATAATTTTTATTTTATACTTTCAGTATGTGTAGTATATGTGTTTTTTAAATGAACTGAGAAAGACCATCAACATGATCAATGGAACTTTTTTTCACAATTTTGCAGAAAGTGAAAAAAATATTTAGAGAAATGAATTCTGACAGGTTAATATTGTGATATGATTTGTAAGTTATTTACATCTAATTAAAAAATTCTGTGCCTCATTTTTGAAAGTGTTTTTGTAAACATTTACTTATTTGAAATTGTAAGTCATTTCATGTATTATAATATCACATGAACAAACACACCTCTGTTTTTTTTCCATACAATTTTAAGTTATGAAATACATAGGGGAACTTTGATAAAAACCAATGTGAGTCTCTTTATATGCAATTGAGGTAATATTAGTTTTTCTTTATCTATCATGCTTTTGCCTTGTTGATCTTTTTGTTTCCTTTGAGACAAAAGAATGAAATTTTTTGGAGGCAAATACATTAACAATTTATATCTTTCCCACTTGTCCATCTTGGCCAGCGTTTAGGTAGTTAATGATGTGACCTTTATATATATATTAGATTTCTAGTGCAACCTGATCTTGCAAGCAGATACGTATGCAATTGGTTTCACACGGTGATTACACAGGTTCCATGTCTTTACACACAATCTTATACACTATATTCTTGGTAGGAAACAGCTTTACAGGTTTTAGTTGTATCAAAATACTCTTTGTTTTTTCTATCAATTGTTAATATTTTTGTCAATACAAAAAACAAAAATCATTTCTGGAAAATGTCTAGTAGTTAAAGGAGGTTGTATCCTGGACCAGTAGCTAGGCAGATTACTAGCTTCATCTAAATAGCCCAGTGCCAAAAGGAATTTTTACTTGTGTACTGATCAAAACGTTTCAAAATCAGAGTTAAATGTGAATCAAAGAAATTAATGGAGGGCCATATAATGTATTTTGAACCCTTTAAAACTCACAATTTCACAATTAGTTGGATCATATTATCCTTCCAGCCAGGTGTAAATAGAGCCATAAGTGAGAAGATTATCAACACTGAGACACTCTTTTCAAACTTTTTTTTGAACATAATTTTCCCTTTAATAGTATTTCTATCATGAAAATTTAACCAATATTGTCATAAATGTGCACCAAGCCATGAATTTTTTTAATTACAAAACAGACAACTGTTGATTATAAAGTGTTCATTCAACATATAGGTCAATTGAACATCCCTGTAAATTTGGGGGTTTTTTTTCAGTAAAAACAAGCAACTATATATTAGATTTTAATCTTATTTGAATGATATCAAAGATACAACATGAAAAATTAGTTCTACAGTAAAATGTTGAATAATTAAAGAAGAATGAAAAATAATTATTGAATATAAGACCATTGTAAAATCTGCATGTTTAGATGATATAAACTAACAGTAAATGTTTTGATAGGTACAAGAATATCGCCAAATAGTATTTGTACTATTGATCTCTATAGAAATCATTTATTAACATCTAATCAAATCATATAAAATTGAAAAATTAGCTGTAGTTTGTTCTACCCCTATTGTCAATGCTGATTACAATTTACACTTTACTATGAGAATTTAAGTATAAAATATTTCAATTTGACAACATATATCAGTGATTTGATCATGTTATTTAAAATTAAGATTCCAATAAATGTTTCAGTACAGTGATTAAGAAAATCATAAATATATTTTATAAGAAAAACTGTATATGTTTGACTGTAGGAAAGAATTTGCTATTTATGTGTTATATTATGTTGATTCATTGATTTCTATGGATATCAATCTTTTATGACAGAGGAAAAATTGTTTTTCATGGATACTTTTTTTTTTACAATATATTGTTGAACATTTGAATTTGTAGTTCCCCTGCACCCACAAAATCCATGAAAATTAATTTTGAATCTTTCACTAAAAGACATAAAATTAGATGGTCAAAAACTTATAATTACTAATTTTTTTAACCGTTTCTGAGGAAAAATTAAGTTACAGCAGAAGTTTTATGATTTTGATTTATTTAAAAATAAGAAAGTATTTTTAGGTGTCTTTTTAGCCCATGATGATCTTTATTTTATTTATCAATTTATAAACATCTGTTTATATTAAGTTATCAGACTTAACATCTAATCTTAGTTTTCCTAAATTCCTCAGCCATTGTGAGACAAACTTATCAGGAATAATGTAAAGAAATTCCTTGACAAAGATTCTATATGGCAGTTAAATATTGGAAAATATATGTATATGCTCTTATTATGAAAACCTGAAACAAATATTCTATTTATTTTATTTTCTAATTTTTATATATTTGCTAAAGGTCCAAGTTCTGCTGAAATGAAACATCAACCTTTTTTCATGTACTCTTTTTTTTTAAGAAATAATGAGCCAGAATGTTTTGAAGGTTTCCTTTTGGATGTGCAAAAAATATCCATAAACAACTGTAGACTTATTAATCATCTATTGACAAGTGACATTCTTAGGTGAAGTGAATACAGAAAAAAACCTAATCACAACATATTTTAACAAATTATACATATTATGATGTTTATGAAGTTAAATATTACAATGCATGAAGGTATGTTCATAAAACCATGACACATTTAATACATATACTCACAAAAATATCACAGATATAAAAGTCATTAGCATAATTAATGGCAGTGTGCAAATATTTAAGAGGAATCTTTATGTATATTATCCATCCATCAAATTCAACCATTTTTTCATAAAGGAATCCTCCAAAATACCACTCGATTTGCTTTTTCAACTGTCAAATATAATTTATGGAGATTCCATGCTAATTTATATCATTCCAATATTGAACACATATTTCACACTTTAGAAAACATTTAAGGATATTGTTTGAATACAATGTACATTAAAATTGCATCTGCTTATTACTGCAAATGTTACCTATGAAATCACCATTTGTTGTGACAGTGATGACATCCACACCTTAAAATGTATCTGTAAGTGGCATAAGCAAAATCATCATGTTTACATTGTAATCTCACAGCTTTCATAATAGATAATGATTGTCTACAACACTGACAGGTATACCTAAATGGTGTATATAGAACTGGAGAAAAGGATATCTCAGGCTCGGTTTTGGATTTTCTACAGTGTCCCTCACACCTTGACATTAAAACATTCTGAAACAAAAAACAAAAAAATTATAAACAATAATAAGAATGTGACAAAATTTAAGAAGGCTTTTCCACTGAAAAAAACACAAAAATAAATTAATAGAAGAAATAATGACTATGTTGGACTGAGATGTTTAAGCTGGACCCTTCCAAAATGTACATCCAGACCCAGCAGGGATGCTGTTGGAGCAAACAAGACTAAGAAGTGGTTCAGGATACCATGACTTACTTAAAGTACAACAAGACCCTGTAGGGATGCTGTCATAGTAAGCAAGGACTACGGTGTGGTTTAGGATACTATAAACCATGACTAACTTATAGTACAAGACCCTGCAAGGATGCTGTTATAGGGAGCAAGGACTACGGTGTGGTTCAGTATAATATAAACCAAGACTAACTTATTGTTGCTTTATTGTCTTGCCTGCCACAAATATTACAGAATATGAGATAAAGGGATTCTAATCTGGTGATGGCATTATAAAAGTGTATATTTTAGACGGTAGTAGATCTGGACAGTAAATTTATAGGATTGTTGCAAGGTATTCATGTCCATGAGATCGGGTTCACCTGACCTTAACCTCATTTTATGGTTCATTAATAAACATCCAATTTTGTTGACCCTGCGACATTTATGTTGCGAAAGCAAGATATAGCGGTCCTAGAGTCCATCTTCGGCGTCGTTGGCGTCAACATTTAGGTTCAGTCTATGGTTAAAGTTTTTCAGTCATCAATAACTTTGTCAAACCTTCATCATGGGATTTTATGAAAGTTGGACAGAAGCTATGACCAAAAGACAGTATTATTCCAGAGCGAAATTTTAAAAATATTTATTTTCATTTTTCCGTATTTTACTGATATGTTTTGTTTTTTTTAAACTTAAAAAGTAGATCTATACATTCTGGGGTTAAAGTTTGTTACACATCAATTTGTCAAACCTTCATAAAATTTTATGAAACTTTGGCAGAAGCTTTTTTATGATTAAGAATAATGTCTGAAGCAAACTTTTGAAAATATTTTACAGTTAGCATTTACAGACAGTCTGGGATTGATTTTTTTTGACATGATTAATTTGTAAACCTTCATGGATTGCTATGAATCTTGGACAAACACTAATCTTCATGACCAAGAAATAGCATCTAAAAAAAGTTTGATTTTTTTTTAAATTCTGTGTTTTAATGATAAATGGACTAATTTTTAGGTCAACATTACACTATTACACTAACAGAAGCAATCGCAAGCGAGACGCAGGGTTCCAGGGAACCCCTTACGATTTTTTTTTTCGATAAAGTAACTCCGTTACGATAAATAATAGGTCAAGTATGTAACATGTCAGTCAGACAGTGTTCACCTGACCTTGACCTCATTTTATATTCCAATGATGAACATTAAGTTCGTTTCTCGGAAAATTTAAACAAAAGGTCAACTCTATTTGGTATGTAGAGAGATTGTATTAAAGCTGTACATGTCCGTCTGACAGGGTTCATTTGATATTGAGATTTTCATGGTTCATCAGTGGCGGATCCAGAGGGGGGCGTAGAGGGCGTACGCCCCCCTTTGCTTGCTTTTTTTTTTTTTTTTTTTTTTTTGTAAAATGATTAATCAGACTAGACTTCGCGAACTTTGCCATTTCCCGTGTATTTAATTTTTATGCGACAATTCTTTACTTATAAAGATATTTTTCGCTCGTATTTACTGTAATATATTATTGATTATGTCAAAGTCATGTGACTCGCTACGGTGGAGTTGACCAGTACGTCGAAAAAAAACGTCACTCAGTCATTTTGAAATTCAAATTACAGTAACACATTGCTTAGGCTGAGGATGACAAGCATGACGCCTTCAAAGCGACAAAGTATTGAGCACGCCCCAGCCCATTAATAACATTGCTGAATAGTGATCCCCAGTCAGTAAGCTCTAGATATAGATTTAAAGTCTAAGGTACGGACCATTTGATTTGAGGGGGCAGTCTGAGATATTTTAAAGAAAAAATTCTGACCCTGATTTTTGCCTTAAACAAAAATTCTGGCCGTATATGGATTGAAAACAATAATCTTG